CGATTAACAATATGTAATATAGCATCTTTTTCAAAAGAAAGATCTGTTTTTTCGACATGAAATATTCATTTTATCATATGGATCATATGAAAATAAAGCTCGAGCATGTATTGATGAACAATCATCTAAATAAAAAGGAAAAGAAAATATTTATTTGAAAAAAAAGAATAAATAAAGAAAAAACCTTAATTATTTATTTCATGATTTGTTTCATCTGAAGTTGGTAAAAGAAAAAATGAAATAGATCCATGAAGTGAATCAATTAATTGAAAAATTTCATCAAGTGTACGATATTCGGATTGCATATGAATATTATTTATTTCAAGTAATGGATCACCAATTGAAAAAAGTCCTTATGCAATACTTCCATAAACAATTCGAACTATCGATATTCGATGATCATTATCAGATAAACGACAAATTATTGCACCTTATGGTTCATCTTGATGTTTTTCTAAACGAATAATTTCTAAAGACTAACATTATGTTCAGTTGATTTTGATGTATAATTTGAATTTTCTTTTTTTTTTTATCAATTAATTTCGTTGAACATTACATTGATATTGTACAAGTTTGTTCATCTTTATCTGAATACTATTTTCAGACAACAACATTTAATAAACACAAAAAAACAAAAACGACAATAATTAAAACTTACATGATCTTTTTTTTTAACGAGTTTTCGTCATCAGATAAATGAAATGTTACATTTGACAAAGTTCTTTTTCTTGATAATGATCTTCAATAATTAAATCGTATGAACATATAAATAAATGAAAATATGTATCTTCAAATATTGCGATTAATTCTTCTAATTCATTTAATGATATTTTACAATATTCTTCATTAAATTGATTAAAAAAATCTCAAAAGAAATTTTCTCTTCATTATTTCAACAACTATTCAGCATTAATGCATAAAGTTCAAGATTTTTTTCAAATTGTTGTGATTCGATGATTGAATTTAACAATGTGCAATCGGCAAGAAAAGACGATACTCATGAAGAATTCTTTTTATAGTTAATATCAACATGGTTTCCCGATGACGATAAACGTGAACTCAATGGAACAACAGACATTTTCTCTTTTCTTTTTCTTTTGACATAAAGTAACATTTTCAAACATAATATCATCACTAAATATTCGATTATGTCTCTCACTGTTTCATATTCACTAATTTAATCGCTTTCAATTATCCAAGTAATATTTGATAACTTCATTTCAACTTATTTTAGAGGAACATCGTCTCAACCTTCCCCTCTTTCCGAACGTGAAAATCAAAACTTTTTCGTTTTTTTTGTTTTTCATCACTGATATGGACAGAAGTGTCCTCTGTCAAATGCGAAATTAACGAGAGGTCTTCGCTGTTAATTAGTACTTTTATTAAACTCAACTTCGAAAATTTCTAGCAGAAAAACTCGCTCTGCAATTATTCTATTCTAAACGACATTCTTCGAATGATAATGATAATTTCTCATTCGAATGGTACTTAGAACATGGGTCATGGACTCCTCACACCACTGAATACGACGATTTTTTGATCACTTTAATTAGAGAAAAGAAGTCGTGACACATAAACGCAAATTTGTTTTTCATTCTTCTCAAAACTAATTTTTTCAGAAAAGTGTACAGAATAATCCGCGTTTCTCAGGCACTGTATATTCTGTCGAACTGAAACTTTTTCTACAAGTATTAGATAGCGTTTCGACTGACTAGTTTTCTTTTTGTTTTGAAAAATATTGTATCGTTGATTTTTGGCAAAATTTGCAGAAAAGGCTCTAGTAAAAAAGACTGGGTTTTGGGAGATGTGTGCTCCGTATTACAGCGGCGGATCTAGGATTTTTTCATGGGGGGCGATTCCATGAATATGGGGCGATTTTGATCATAACACGTGTTTTGAAGCTTATTAGAGGTAATATCAGCTCGTTCTTTAGCCTTTTCTGCTGGAAAAACCGAAATTTTTTTTTTCTGAATGGAGGCGATCGCCCCAAGCGCTCCCCCCCCTAAATCCGCCACTGCCGTATTATGATCTTCTTTTTTCCGAATGAAAGGACATAAAAAGAAACGAAAAAAGTAATCCCCCTTCAAAATGTATATAGTATCTGTAAAAAAAGTTTCAGCTCTATTGAACGCATTTGGAAATTTTGTTTCTATGACAACTTTTGGTCCACTCATCGAGATCTATCTATCCTAAAAGTTTCAAATTCTTCTGATGCGTTGTTTCTCAAAAGTAGCGGAAAGGAAAGGGAGCAGGCGATATCCTCTTAAGTTGAACTATATAAATAAGATGAAATGAACTGGTGAAAACTTGACTAGTAGCATAAATATAAAACATTGAACAGGGGAGCTCTCTTAAAAAGAATTGATCATCAGCTATTTTATTTGATTCTTACGAATCATTGATTTGTAACTTTTCACTAAACTATTTCCAATATCTCAAATCTTGATAGTGTTTTACATTGCAGCTTTAACCAATAGGTACATAATTTCCGTGAAAAACATAAAATTCTTTTAAAATAAAAATAGAAAAATAAATTTTTGTGAAAATTTCTAAGATCGCGGGACCGTTGACTTTTGTTTATGATGGCGGGTCCAATAAAAAAAAGGTATATTCTCGGTTCATCGACAAATTTGTCAATGAAGAATTTTCGAATATTAATGAAAAAACCTTCTATTGGAGAAAGGAATTGTGTAGACCGTAGTGACGCTATTGAACAATTTTACAATGAATGCTACCATTAACATAAAGGGCATATAAACGGGTGACCGATCACTTCGTCGCAGAACAATTCGTCGCGTTCTGTTCGTCGTAAAATTTTTTTTCGTTCTGTTTGTCGCAGATAAATATCTTTCGCTATACTCATCAGTGTCTATTCGTTGCATCTCTTTTAATTAATTCTTTTTTTTTTGAAAGATATAAAATTGATGAGTTAATGATTGTTTATTTTGTACATAATACATAATATAATGATGAACAAATTGAGAAAAAAAAAGAAAAAACCAAACAAGAAAAGAAAATAATCTAAAGAAAAAAAAATAATTTAAAGAAAAAAAATATCTAAAGAGGAGTCTATGGATTTTTTTAATTCAAATTGAATTTTGAAAAAAAAATAACAGCCCATTTTTACCAAGGCAGAGGAACTAAGGGGACTAAGAAATTCTTTAAATTCAGAAAGGAAGAATTCTTTGGTATCTTCTCTCCTGTTCCTTATAAGAAAGGCTACTATGGATACATACATAACATATATAGAATTCAGTCGACATATGGTATATCTATAGTACCTTTTTTGAGGGTGGGCTCGGAGGACTAAGGGGACTAACTAAGCGGCCTAAGGGTAGGAATAATGGTGTACACAGAGACGTGCATGGGTCGCGGCTCTTCGAGGGGGGGGGGGCGCTTCGCGCCCCCACGCCGCGACGCTGAAATAAAAGGTGTGTTAGGTGGGGAAACACGCTTCCTCACTGAATAATCCGCTTAGTCCCCTTAGTCCCCTTAGTCTCCTTAGTCCCCTTAGTCTCCTTAGTCCCCTTAGTCTCCTTAGTCCCCTTAGTCTCCTTAGTTCCCTTAGTCTCCTTTGTCCCCTTAGTCTCCTTAGTCCCCTTAGTCTCCTTAGTCCCCTTAGTCCCCTTAGTCTCCTTAGTCCCCTTAGTCTCCTTAGTCCTCTTACTCCCCTTAGTCTCCTTAGTCCCCTTAGTCTCCTTAGTCCCCTTAGTCTCCTTAGTCCTCTTACTCCCCTTAGTCCCCTTAGTCTCCTTAGTCCCCTTAGTCTCCTTAGTCCCCTTAGTCTCCTTAGTCCCGTTAGTCTCCTTAGTCCCCTTAGTCCCCTTAGTCTCCTTAGTCCCATTAGTTAGTCAGCTTAGTCCCCTTAGTCCCCTTAGCTCCCTATTTCAATTTGAAATCAAGTGCTCTTTTTTCTTTTTAAATTCAGATTGAATTTAAATAACCCATTGTATGCTAAAGAGTAACGTTGGCTGCCATATTTTTTAAGAATTGATCCAGTTGAGGTGCGTCGAATCCGTTGACCAGTCGAGTAATACCTTCGTCCAATCTTCGGTAGCAGGCCTTCTTCATCTTGATATCGTGACCTTGGAGAATCTCCGCCATGTCCATTTCAAATTTTGATTTTTCACGACGAATTTTTTCTGCCAGCTTCACTATATTTGGATGACTTATTGCGACGCGATTAGCGAATGCATTGTGCCAGCCTTCCACCGAATTATTGGATCGCGGTGCCGTAGCAATGACACGATCATAAACATTCCATAATTTGTAATCGAATTGAGGTTTCTTTCGACCAGTTTCTTAGAAAGTCGAGTATATTTAGAGTTTCTCAAGAATAGAGAAAAAAAATTACCTCTTTTTCTTTTTTCACCAATCCATGTTTTTTCAAAATAATCGAGTAAATCGTCGGCGTCATCGTCGGATTGATCACAAATTAAGTCGAAGCCAGTTATAACTTGATCTAGTGGAACAAAAGCAAGAGCAATCAATTTTTTACATTTAAACGAAAATACTCATCCTCATTATATTTAGTTGCTAATCCTTTGCTTTGAACTTGTCGCCATACCGCTTGTGAAAAATGAAAGAGACAACCTAGAAAAAAACGCTTTAATTACTTTTTTATGAATAGATTAAAACGTATCTTTGTGTAAAACGTTTGGCAACATGTCTTTCACTGATTTGATTGTGCCAGTTTCGAAATCAGTCATAATTGATTAAGGTTGGAAGTTGTCTTGCGCTAACACTTTTTCGAAGAATAAATTGTAATCTTGAGGGCTTTTACCAATTAATAACCCATAGACGAGAGGAATAATAGCATTGGTCATCATCGCATGTAATGTGAAGAGTTGATAATAATCGTTGGAACATACCTACATGAAAGAAAGTTAGAAAAGAAAAAGAGACACATTTAATTGATAGTTTACTTTGAATGTTCCATCAACGAACCAATGTTTGTTTTTTTTTGAGAATAGATAAGTTAGTTTTTGTTGTAAATATAATTAAATTCTTGTCTTCGTGCAAGATGAAATCTTCATCACGATAGCCTTTCTTAATTTTTCTGGTAAACGACCATCGACGTCGACTGTTTCAACAGTACATTGTCTGCAAATCATTAGCATAAGTGCTTCATTGCTTGGAAGTTCACCAGTGGCACTTAGTGGATATGTACGTAAGGCCGAATGAAGAATTGAGCTGGTTGGTTTATCTGTTATCACAGTACAAACTTTAATATCATTTTTTAATTGGATAGCTGGAACACGATCGGGTTGTGGAGTATGGGAATGTGATGTTGGCTGTGCGAGAACTGCGTCCATGAATAAATTGGTATGACAACGAGCTTAATTGATAAATGATTTTCATTTGAATTAATTGATTGATATTCAAAGTGAACTTACCTTTACAATCTCGATTCTGACATCGAAATATCAATTTCGTGGTTGTTGTACGCTCTACAGTATAGATATAACCTTTATGGAGGATCATTGGTTTTCCTTACAGAAAAGAGTTTTTCGATTTGAGACATTTTTCTTGAAAAATACTGTGCAGTGAAAGTTGAAATTAAGAAGTGAAATGAATTTTTTTATTTGACCTGGTTCCATAATTAAGGACATTGGATCAGTGTTATCTTTAGTTTAGATTATGTTGCAATTCATTAACCAAGTGACAAATCTAATTATTCTTCGTTCGCTTTAGCTCTATCATGACTGCATTAGAATAATATTTTTATATTGATCCGTTTTCCCAATTAATTATCTATCGTTATTGTACATATCACTTTCGCAATTTATTATTTATTTTATATTATTTCCATTGATTACAGAAAAAAAAGAATTTATTAAGAGAGATGCAATAAGTAGATAGCGACGAACAGAACGAAAGAAATTTATCTGTGACGAACAGAACGCGACAAATTGTTCTGCGATGAAGTGATTGCGACGAAGTGTCGTGCGACGAATTGTACTAGTGCTGCTGCTGTTTTCTTTGTCTCCAAAAACATATATCGGCTTCCTCAAGCGTAAGACAATGACAGTTTGGCTACAGTATTTTTAACCTTTGTCAGTAATATTGTTAGCTAGAATGTTTCTTTTTGCGTTGGAAGATACATCTCTTTCTTCTTCATAACCTCCGAAAATCGGAGCTCGCTTGAGTAAATCATTAAAAAATTATGGAAAAGTTAAATGGCGTAACACGATGATGAACAAAGGACAAAAAGTTGAGAACAGTATGTTTGCTCTGTATCTTTCTGCGAATATTGGCTTTTTAGAATGCAATATTCTAAAGACTTTTTGCAGCAAACAGTGTGAAGTGTTCAACGATGAAAAATATTTTTCAATTTAACTTCTTATTTTGAGAATAAATCGTTACTATCAATGTAACACGATGATACACTTGTAACGGGATGGCACTTACTTTTACTATCAAGTTTTTCCTATGCCATCTTTTGCTACAAGTACAACTGTAAACTCAACATAATATTCGCTTTCAATCTATATCATAAAGAGGTGTTAAATATCACGTTTATTAATAGTTTCAGTATAGAAATGATGAGAAAAAAGTTAATTAAATACACCGGGTTGTCCAAGCATAAGGTCATGACGTTTTGGCCACAGTTTTGCTAATTTTTCTCAGCAATGAGATTACGCAGAAGGTTCGTTCATTCGTTGGAAGATGTACCTCTGTCTTCTCAAAACCTCTGGAAATATGAGCTCGTTTGAAGGAGTCGTTTCAAAATAATAGCAAAAATAGATGAGATAACAAGATGACGGAAAATGGACAACAATTTGAGGGTGATATGGTTGTTGTTTATTTTTCTGCGAATGTTGTACGGTATTAAAAGAAACATTCTACAGATGTTTTGTAGCCGACAGTTTGAGGTATCCAATGGACAAAGACATTCTTCAAACAGGCTTCTTATTTTGAAGAAGGATCGATTTCATTTACGTAACGCGATGACAATGAGTTTTATAATAGTTTGTTTTTGTATGCTTCAATTTGCCATATGTATTACTGCGCAAAGAGAAGATAATACTTTTATCTCAGTGCTGACAATCAAAGGTTTTAAATGTTATATTTATTATTCACCTTAATACAAAAAACGTAAGCAAAAAATCAGATCTAAGAATGTATCAAACAATCTGTATATAACAAGCGGCACATAATACATGGCGGGTTTGTGTATTCGCTCTGTATGTTTCTATAGAATGCTTTATCGAAAACCAAATATGTTGCAGAATAGAGCGAAGCATGCTCTATATTTTGGCGTGGAAACTGTTACTCCATATGTGTCTTTGTTTCGAGATAACTGATGATGCAAAACTTCTTGCACAAATGTTGGTATATTTTTCATTGATTAAAACATATGTGGATAAACTCGAAAGTAGTTGCAAAGAATCGTCATCGAAAGCTCTTTCTAAATGTATATTCAAAAACGTTTTATCATGTCTTGTTATTTAGTAGAGAACGCATCTTTAAACAGATCTAAAATTTAGCCTGTGAAAATAGCTCAGAGTAGTAGATGCAGAAACAATATATCTTTCTGTATTTTTTTTATTTTGTTCAAAGCAATCGATAGTATGGTGCTACTCTTTTACTGATTAGATACATCACTCAATTCGCTACAAACTGAATAGAAAACCATACGGTATTACGCTAGATGATGTGATCGACAAATTAACAAACAGCGATGTAATAAATAACACCAAATTTGAGAATAAAAAAGATGATGAGTCAATATAATTTTCGAGATTTGAACGGCGCCATTGCTGATAAAACTAGTTGAAAAAATGGCTACAAATGGCTCGAGATACTCACTCTATGAGTATGTCTGAGCCAATGGCTGTAAATGACGAACTCGAACAGTGAGCAAAACAACACTAACATCAATCTGAAAATGGCTAGAGAGCCGAGAATGAGTTCTCTCAATGTTATCTCAAAAATAATTCTATAGTATTTTCCACATGATCTGTTGAGAATAGAAACGGTAGTCTGATGCAGAAAAGATAAACACCGTCTCATGAAATGAACCAAAACAACTTGCAACATACTGTGAAATCCGTACTTTTTTTGGTATTCGTTTTCTTTTACAAACCACATTTTAGTGCTGTTTAAGGATGTGTTCCCTATTGAAAGAATCTTTTTTAAACATACAATTAGAAAGAGCTTTTTATGTAGATTTCGTACAATTACTTTACAATTTATCCACATATGCTTTAGTCAATTAAAAATGAACTGACATTTGTGTAAGAACTTTTGCATCACCTGTTATATAGTTATCTAATATGATATGCTCTTGTAAAAAGTATGTGTGTCTCGTTCTTTTATCTAATTTTTTTTCTTAACACACATAAAAAAACCTGAAATCAAATAAACAAGATTAAAAATAAACCTACAAGTGTATGCAAATCATACACGTCTGTTTCTTTGATTGGCAAGCTGACGCCCCAAATGTGTATTACGCACTTTTTTGTAGGAATAAGAGGAACATACGAAATAGAAAAAAAAACGACGAATTAAATAATAATCAATGTTTTCTTTTCTTGTAATAGTAAGATGTAGAAGAGTGAGTGTCTACTAACAACCATCAATCATCGCTGGACGATCTACTCTTATCAATATTATTCTCATTCTACTATCTCCAACTACTCGATATAGTCTCAGATGTAATTCCTCCCTTTTGTATTCTAGTAGGAGAAGGAAACGAGTATACCGTATGCTTGTGCATGCAGACTAACATCAGCTTTTTTTGCATTTTCTTCTCCTTTTCTGTTGCTATGGTCTTATTTCTGTTGCCTCTTTTCTTTTTGCGTCTATTTTGCGTTCTCTCTCTCCTTCGAGTTGTCGGCCACTCTTTCCTCACTGTCTGTAACGATTCTTTTCCAACATTGTCGATGCATAGTTCTGAATCATTCACCATTGGTTAGAAGAGAAAGAGCAAACCAACTCTCAACACTATTATGTGTTCTACTCGTCGTATTTATTGAACTTTCTTTTCATATTTTTACTTAACATGTGTTCTTATTTATTTTCTTTTTTGTTTCTTTTTTTTTTTAATCATTAGATTTTTTTTCAAAGATATGCACAAGATATTAAAGTCCATGAATCAAAAGTTTTCTTAAATCTGATTAAAAAATGTTCTTCATAAAACAATTTCTATTTGTGCTATTTGCATTATCAAGTAAAACATGTTTTTTACACAATGTCGCGACAACAACAATATCACCAACAATTATATTAAATAGTAATAATAAATCTTCGGTGACAAAAGTAAGTAAAGAAAAACAATGACAAGATTAATCCAGCGACTTTTTTTTATAGATTGTAAATACGAATTCTTCAGTAGATGAAAAAGAAAACGAGAAAATATCGATTTCATCATCTGAAGATATAATTAGTAGTGATACAACAGCTGATGAAATTAAAAATGAAGTATCTGTTAATGAGTTATTAGAAACATCTAAAGAATCAGTTGTTATTGTTATACCAGAAATTCATCAGGGACCACATTATGAAATTGATTGGAGTTTTATTGATAAAGATACAATTCGTGTAACATTTGATCTATTCTCTATTCCAAAATCATTAATTGAAAATAATATATATTCCGAAAAAAATAAACGTAAATTAAATCTACTAGCAACTATGACTACAATGCCTTCAAATTCACTTAAATCAATATTTTCATTAGAATATTTTCTTTTTATTATCCGACCATATAACCAAAATCGAGAAATTATACTTAAAATGGAAAAATTAAATTTAAAAAATACAACATTGAATACATATTCTTATTTTTCAAATTCATTAAGATTAACTTCATTAAATCATAATGAAAAATATAGTATTTGTATCTGTTATTATCAAACGAATAGTTCAACAAAAACTCCAGATTTACTTCTTTGTCAAGATGTTATCAATGATTATGCAAAATTTGCTCATTTGAGAGCAGATCCAACACATGGTCTTTTCTTTATTACAACGCAGTATTCAATTATCATTGGCTTACTCGTCGTTTTACAAAGTATTTTTTCAATACGAAAACGACGTATAACTCAATATATTACTCAACATTTAACAACTACAGCACACAATATTCGTACTACACTTTCATCAGTTAGTCTGGGACGGCAATCATGTTCTTCATTAGATGCGGCAGCTGAACAACAGCAACATTCAACAAAATCTCACACAACTCAACGCGAACCAACGATTGGTGAAGAAAAGAAAATAAAAAAACGGATTATATCATCGCCAGCTATTGTAATTAATCAACTATCTGTGCCCACAAATGATGGTGCTACTAGTTCCGATGAAACTGAACCATTCCTTAAAAATATGCCGAGCAAAAATCATGTACATTTTTTACTTGGTCCAGGCGAAGGATCTGATAACGATGATGAAGATAATGAGAATGAAGATGTCCACAACAATAAATCATGGAATCCACAATCGACACCAACACATGAAGAACCTTATCAAGATCAAGCGGACGCTTTGTTGTCCATGGCTCATATATTGGATACAAATAAACCATGGTCTCGGCATAGTCAACATACGTCTCCAGTTTGATAATTGAAAGACGTCTTTCATATAATATTTTTTTTTCTTATCTTCTGTTGTCAGGACTACTGTTTTCTCTTTGTATTTATACAAACAACGAAAAAATAATTAAATCACACATACACATTGAGAAAGAAAATAGTACAAATAAGAAAGGAGAAAAAACATGAAAAAGCATTACGATTTAAACGAAATTGCTTAAACATGTCAAAATAATGGAAGCAAAGAAAAAAAATAACAATCATGTTCATACAGATTTATGTTCTGTTCTCAGTTTTAGTATTACACTTGCTTTTACTTTTTATATGAATAGTGATAGCAAAACGGAACTGATGAGTCCATCAATTCACTTATAAAAAGAATGAGAGATATGCATAAACAAATTTTTTATCAATTAATACAATATGAAGGCAAGAAACATGCCTAAAAACACGCGATAACACACGACTAGTTTATTCGAATCGGTTTTTCTGAACAAAGTGATTTTCTAGTTTTCCGTGTATTTGATATTAGTGGTAATTCTAAGCCAAGCCAACATGAATCTAAAATAAAAAACATAAATATTTGGATAAAAACATGCCAATAAACTATACTTTGTATCAATATCAGTTCACGTAAATTAATTCGTCCCATATTGTCATCACATCGAAGTATTAGTTTACTACCATTAAATATTGAAAAACGATACTAAATATAATTTAGTTGGCATAAATAATAAATAAAAAGTATTAAAACAGAAGGAAACAAACTTTTTCAAATTCACGATTAGTAAGACCTAATTTAAGTTGTAATCGTTGTTTAACATCATCAAATGATTCATTCTAATCAAATAAATATTTAAATATATACACAAAATAAAATAAAAGTTTTGTATTTTACATGTATCACATTCAGAAAAAACGGAAAAAACTTTTGAAGATTTATTTGTATAAAATTTTCCTAAATAATTTCAAATAAATTTTATAAATTAAAAATTAAAATTATTTACTTTTGTATAATGAGCAACAGGTATTAATACAGAATCTTTATTATGATCATTTTCATCAGAAAGAATTTCTTCTAAATGATAATGATGATTTAAACAATTATCAAATTTATCTATTGATAATTGATCTGGACATATACGAAGACGAAACGGAAGATTTATATCATGGTTTAAAGTTAGTTCAGTTATTCTAAATAGAAAGTGTTTGTTTTTCGAATATTACTACATAGTTATTGAATTGAAATGAAAACTATTAATAATGTTTACCTTAATTGTTGACTACCGTTTTCAGAACATAATGTTGGTATCCATTGTTTAATTTCATTAAGAAAATCGGCTACTGTTGAAGATTTTTTAGCATAAAATTGTATTTCGCGTTGCTCATCTTTTTTTATTGAATTTGTAACAAATATACGAAATAAACAACGATGTTCAAGTTCAGTATAATTAAACGGTAACTAAAAAGTAAGATGAGTTTTGAAAAAAGCATTTTTTAAATTGCTGTTGTTTTTCTTGTTTACTCTTTTAAAGTAGATTTTTCGAGGCGTTGTTACTGTAAAACGTATGCTTGAATAGAGATCTTTTAGTTTTTGTTCACTGCCAATATGTAATAAAGATGTTGAAGGTGTCGTATTGGCTATCGATGCTGAACTAAAAAAGAATGAATTATTCTAGTATGATTGAAGAGCGAACTATTTTTTTTCGTCATCTCAATTCATCTAAGAACATCTTAAAAAATAGAAAAGATTTTTCGAATTAAACATGAAGTAATATTAGTGTACCGTTCATTTTTCAAAAGATAATGTTTTAGTTTATGTTTTGAAAAGATTGGAAGCAGATGATGAAGCATTTTTTCAGATGCCCTTCTGTACTTTGGTTTTCCATTTTTTTAAGGGAAAAAGTGTAAAGGATCAAAACAATGCTTAGTATTTGAAAACACTATGCTCAACACACTATGCAGATCTATTGATGATAACTTTTTTTCTTTTTCTAACATATACTCCATAAAATAATATAGAGTTTGATTTAGCCATAAAAACCTTGAATATCTAAACATAATAAAGAAAACTGAAATTAAAAGATACATGGTTAGTGATTAAAAATAGAAGCGGTATCATGTAATGAAGATCTGTTACCATACTAGATTAATGTTTAATGGACGTAGGACAGTAATTTATCTAAGTGGCAATAAATCAGTCACTGACAGACGAACTTTATTTCTATGATTGTAGGAAAAGAACTACGAGTTATAATAAATCATAGTAATTGGCATATCACATAAAGGAAAAATCCAAAAAACAACTTTTATATTACTTAAGGATATCAAGTTATGTGATAAACCTGAAACGTTTTTTTGATTTAAAACTCAATTGTTTATAGTTATCTTTAATACTATTACAACATTCTAAATTACGATTTCATTTTACAATGAATTTAATCTATAAAATTCTTACTTTGAAAATTTTTGTATAATAATTTGTTGTTCTGGATAGTTAATACGTTCAGCAATCAATCGAATAACTTCTTTAATGGATGTTTCCAATGAAAGATATAATTTAAAGAGACATTCATTTCGTAAATTATCTCGATTGCAAACATGAAATTCTTGACGACTAAAGAGACTTCTAGAGCAAAGAAAAAAAGGGACACTAACAAATCAGAATAAAGAAAATTCAAAAATATTTTATTTACTGAAAGTAATCATCTAACGTTAGAGTGCACTTTTCATTATGTGTTTGATTCATATCAATTATTTGAATTATAATTGATACACCAGATACACATGAATGAAGTGCTTGAGATAATGGTAAATCAAAATTTGATGATTTTATGGCTTTATATTGATGAACTTGATTGTGTTTCAATACACTTTGATGAACATTAAATTTTGTCGAAGAAGATATTGGTTTTTTAATACGAAGAGCAATATCAATTAAACATTTTTCTATAAAAACAAAAACACAAACGATATATAATATCAAGATAAAAAAATTATCTTACGAAGTGATTGTTGTTTGGAAAATAGAAAATGACCAATGTATAAAAGAGATTCATCTTGAGAATCATATAAACGAACAAATATTAATATGTCATCTATATAAAACCAAAATAGAAATTCTTTCTGCGAAAAACAAAAAAAAATATTAAAATACTATTTTTATCAAATGGTAATAATTGATAGACACCATTAAGAAATATTTTTTGTTCAACAAATATTGATAATATTTGTTGATTTGATATTTTATGTTGAAATAAATCGATAATCTGTTGAATTAGAAAAAAACTGAAAGAATAAATATTAATAGATTAAAATTCTTACTTTTTTATCATAATCATCACAATACATTAGTGTAGAAGTAAGTAATGATTGAGAATGATAATGATGATTTTGATGATTTATATGAATTTTATGAGTATTAACTATCCATATTCGTATATCTTCAGTGAGGTTTACTGCCTAAATTATAATAAAAGAAGTGAATTCACGATTTTGAATTTTATAAGGTTGCATTAATTATTTAAAGTCAATGAAAAACATATTTATGTTATAAAACAAAGATTTTCACTACTCTTTAATCAAATGCTAAGAATGATCTGTTGACAATTCTTTACAGCCTTGATAAAAAGCACAATAGAAGAAATGTCATTGCAGTAGTAAATGACAGATAAGAGAACTACATTTAAAGATGTCTTTCAGTATCTAATTTCAAAATTTGTCTTGATTTTGATAACATCTGACTCAAATTAACATCATCTTATTTCCGAACAAAATCATACATTATGTCGTAATGCAGATCGAATTGCTTTTGAAGTCGCATCTCAGGAATATACAAGATCATGTTTTGTTTTTAAATCGAGTTCAGCCAGAAAAAATTGTCACTTTTAATTTACTCATACACTTCATATTTAATCAATCGGTAATGTAAAAATTACAACTACACTAAAACGAATATCAATTTTATTTTTTTCTAATCTCATATCCATTGACTTCAGATAACTGTAAGTCCTTTAACATTTTCTAACTTTAGCAAAAGAACAGTTTTAATATTCCTTGCAAAAATAGAAATATGTTTTATTTTATCACCAAAACAATAAACAAACTAATCCGTTTTAAATAAATATCTACCATTTCATATGCTAATCGTTGTATAAAGACACTAAATAAATCTGAATTTCGTGCTTTTATATACCATGAAGATTTATTGTTTGGAAAATCTATAGAACTAAAACAAAACAAAAATCATTCCTAAAAAGAATACAAATAATTTCATACTTATAATAAACAATATCCGTTAAACAAGCTGTTGGTTGAGTATAAAAATCAGTATTTAAAATAATTCGTATATAAACTAAATCATCATTATCGGACATATTTTCACGACGTTTTAAAAGCGTTTTTCTAAATTTAATATTTTATTCAATCAAAACAAGATAAATTCTTTTACTTTTCATAATCAAATCGTTTTATTAAAGTTTCTGGGATATCTTCTAGATTAATATCACATAAAACATCTTCTACAGCAAATAAGATTAAATATTTATTCGTAGAATAATCATATATATATTTTTCTTTCAATTTACTTTGACAATCTTCACGTATATAAACCAACATATAAGCCGATGTGTTATACATACGTCCATCATCATCTCGTATCCCACCAAAATTTCTTTCCATTGCATCACTTGGTGCTACTCGTGCAACAACATCGTCATCAAATTTAAACCACTAAAATTAAATAATAAATATAATAAAAGCATCAAACATTATCTTTACTTGTCCATCTAATTCTGGATTAATAAATGAAACATAATGTCCACTTGAATTATCTCCACTATGTACTAATATTGATAATAATTTATATGAACATAATGAACAATTTGGTTTTTCAAGAAATTCACTTAAATCAAGATGGTAATCAAATGAATAACTATCATTTATTTTTCTATTTTGAGATAAATTATAATCATATTCAAAACGTAATAAATGTAAACAAAGTACTGGAGGAAAATGTTGAAATTTAACACCTTTTTCTGCTTCCTATGTTAAAAGTAAACTTTGAAAAAAAAAAGATTTTATGAAAATTTAAACGAACTTGTAAACCATGAATACTGCCAGCATCATATAAATTTTCACCGGTTAATATTTCAGTTTTACAAAAATCTCGAAAACTTTCTATAACTAATGAAAACTTTATGAATATTTTATAATAATTAAAATGACATACTTACTATTAGCATTATTTCGTATTTGTAATGGAACATCATAGAATGTTTGTTGTACTTGAGATTCATGATAAACTTTTGTGCATCGTACATATTGCTTTATTAAATGAAAAGAAAAGAATTTTTTCAGTTTGTAGAAAATTGTCAAACGATAATGATATAAAAATTTACCACGTATTGTCCTTGAAATAGTGATGGAATGACGCCTTCCATTGTTGTACCTTCCATTTTTGATTCTAATTTATCGAGTAACTAAAATAAAAAAGAAAGAAAAGAAAAGAACTACGAACATAATTTTGACAATGTTTTTCTTACCACTCGACAGAATTCTTGAATATCATGTTGACAAAATTCATCTGGCTTGTCCCATCAAGAAAAAATAAAATAAAATAAAAAGACTAATGAAAATAAATTTTATTAAGATAAATAAGAATTTACCCAAATGAACGTGTTAATCTTTTTGTGCTTATAGGTCGATTACTAAATTGAAGATCATAGAAAAGTTTTTGCAAAGCAAGAGGAATGCTATATAATTGATCATCACTGTCTGTTGGCAAAGCATAAACAGCCTAAATACAAATTTATTTAGAGTTTGATCTAAATCAACTCGAAATAAAAGATAGGAATGTTCTGATATGATTAAAAATATTTACATTCCTAGATATTTAACATTTTATTGATTGGAGATTACATTCACTTAATAATTATTTATTAGAAAATTCATTGTTCTAAGGCAAAATATATTCCCACTTGTGAGAATCAATCGATTCTTAGGTCCTTTAGATGTTTAAATTTTGATGGAAAGAGGAGTTTCAATTTCGGCACTCTGTTAATCAAATTACTTGAAAGAGAACTAGGTTTTTTTCTCATTATGTTTAAAATTATTCTCATTATGCTAAACCTTGCGAAGTTTTTTGGTAAAATAAATTGTTTGTAAGAATGAATTCATATAACAAGTTGCACCAATATTGCGCAAACCAGCAAAACCAGTTTGACCTTTTGAATCCCATCTAAATATTATATTTGTTTTTGATAGTAGAATAAAATTTCTAACCTACTCAACATTCCGCGGAGGATCGGCATGAATATTTGCTTGAATTCTAATTGTATTGTCTAGTGAATGTATATATTCACTATAAATTTCCTAATATAAAAAAGAAATTTTTTTAGTCGATACAAAAGATTAATAAATTGCATCTTCACATACTTTTAATGGTTTAAATTGACGAAAACCCCAATCATTGGAACGTACATTAAACAAATGATTGATTTCTTTTTTATAGACAAAAAGAAAAAGATCGAAAAGGAAAATCTGTTTTTAGAATTTACTTCTAATAACATTCTTATTTGGATCTGTTGGATGTAAAAGTGTTAATTCAGCTTTAGCAAATATAGACCAACCATGATATTTTTTGTCTGGTTCACATTTAAGAAAAAGACTAAATGATTCTGTATGAGTATGTTGAGAATTATCATAAATTTGTTCTATAGATGCTAATAATGTCCATGCAAACGTTCGTATTATTGATGGTTCACTTGATACTTGAGCATATCGTCCTCGTGGTGGAATATGAGTATGAAAAATAATGGTACCCTCATATCGATAAACTATTTGAAGAGTAAAAAATAAAATTGAATTTTTTTTTCTTACAATTATTATTTACTATCATCTTTTCCATTATCAAAATCGGCTGAAACAATTGAACAATTAGAAGAGTTCTCTTCTAGTGTATTATCTATCTCGCACCTTTCTGTTTCAGATTGACTTATTGAATGACCTAGAATTTTTAAAAAAACATAATCTTCTTGAAATGATTTGATTTATTTTACCATTACTAATGCCAATTTCGTGTTCAATTATTTGAGTTTGTTCCTCATTTTCAGAATCTACTGATGTACGTCGAAGTTTTTTTGAATCTGGAGAATCGTATGAACTTGCTGGTTGTTCATTCGTAATATCTGTTCTTACAGTATTATCTTCAACACTCAAATTTCGTTTAATACCACTCATCTCAATTTTAAAATTCGTAGCATATGGCTCATTTTCTAAAATAGGAATAATAAAAATAGAAAAAAAAGAAAAAGGAAATAATTTTTTTTCATTTCTCATATGTGTCATTAATGTCAACAGGTTAAGTTGAAGTGAGGCATGAAGTTATTTTCAGTAAAGAATAATTAATCGATTTTAATTAAAGAAAATCTTTGTTTGATTATTTATTTATTTAGAGTTTTTGTAATTATCAATTCTGACGAAATTATAAACAACTAACTCCATCTATATCAAATAAGATTTCTAGGAGTCTGATTTTTAATTGTTAAATAAGTGTGATTATTTTCATATATCAATTATAATATCAAGAATAAATATTCAGAAAAATTCGATTGACGGTTACCGCCATCTAGCTTCGTAAAAATCAAGGTCAAATCTATAATTGTTTACTTTCAATGATGCAATTTAATCAATCCTTTAAAATACGAGTTTGTCGGTTATTTTCAAATTGAAAATGGATAAGCAATATGAAGATAATGAAGAAGATAAAATACTCCCTGGTACATTAATTCTTTCGAGTGAAAAATCTTCCTCTCATCAACAATCTCTTCGTCGACGGCAGTCACTTGGTTCTACTTCAGCATCATTAGTGGAAGTAAGACTTGTATGATTAAAAGAAAAAAAATATTTTCTTCTTGCTTCATTTAGCTTCACATTCATCTTGATGGTTCTTTTCGACATTCGACATTATTTGAATTAGCTCAAAAGAAGGGTATGATAAAATAAATTGAAACAACTAAAATAATATTATCAATAACATTTTAGGTATTCAACTTCCTAATGGAATGGAATCAACATTAGAAAACTTTTTACCGTAATTTAACCTCTAAGGTGAATGTTTTTCTTTTTTGATCGTTTCTATTTTTATTAAAGATATATTTGTATACAATCAGTTTGCAAATCGCTTGTTGAATTTCTTGAAAAATTTCCTTTTTTTACACCAATTGTTGCCGGTGATATTGAAGCACTCGAACGTGTTGCATATGAATTCGTTGAAGATCAAGCGATACAAGGTATACTTTATACTGAAGCTCGTTATAGTCCGCATTATTTAACAGCTAATAAGCTTAGACCAGAGGATGTAAGAATTTAAGTTTTAGGATAGAAAAATTTTATGCATAAATATTGGATTTTAAAGGTAATTGAAGCAATTAATCGTGGTCTTCAACGTGGAATGAAAGAGTTTCATATCGATGTTCGAACAATATTATGTTGTATACGACAAAATCCTGAATGGTATGTTGAAACCAATCAAATTATAAAGCATTTATGAAAAAATGTGACAATTCGTCACGTTTGTTTTTTTATTTTCTCATAGATTACTGCTTGACAAGTTTATTGTTAAAGGTTACGTTTTTCTTTTGTCGAATGAAAATATTGACATTCTTTTAAAAGAAACTAATTGAATCGAGTTCAAGAAAAGGGTCAATCTCTTGAGTTGGAAAATGTTTCCATCACAAGCATTTGAAATGAAATTTTTACACGGAATTTAACCGAATTTTAGCCTATCATAAAGATATATGTATGTGATTTTTAAATATAGTGTGATGAATTAAAATCGAAATACAAAGTTTTTTTTAACCAACTTCAATATATTCATGTTGCTTATAAAACTGGATCATGTATGCTGTCTCATCGTTACGGTGGACATAACGAAGCTTACGTATAACCAAAAATAATAAATGCTTGATATATTCTGACATCTTTTTCTTGATTATCCACTTTTTGAAAAAAGTTCATCATTAAAGCCTCAATACTGATACAATTTCATGTTTAAGGTGTTTGAAAGATTCTTACTCTAAGTTCAAAAAATATAGTTCTATTAAATTAATGGAACTAACTTAACTTGTTTGTTTCGAATAATATCAAGCCTGAACAAATATTGTTTTGAAGCTACTATGTTTGAAGACTATCCAGAAAAGAAATATCTTTACTTTATTGATAATTTTGTAAGTAAAGTCCTTCAGAACTTTGACTGTTATTTTTCAAGCATGTGCTCCACTCTCTCTTCCCCTCCCCTCCCCTTCCCCACATAAAGAAAAACAAGTTTGATTACATATAGTGTATATGTGACAAAGAAAGAAATGAATGTAAGCTAGCGAAACAAACTAACAGATGCGTAATGAATCTTGTGATTCTCTAAAAAAAAATTATTCGTTTAATTAAAATTCTCAAATACTTTCTATACAATGTTATTTTTTCGTCAGGTCAATGGAAACTGTGAATTTAGCTGATAAATATCGTTCAGCAGGTGTTGTTGCTATTGATCTTGCTGGTGATGAACATAATTATCCTATTGATCCACACATTCCAGCGTTTAAGCGTGCAGTTGAACTTAATATACATCGTACAGTACATGCTGGTGAAACAGGTTCAGCTGAATCTGTTCGTCAGGCAATCGAATTATGTCATGCTGAACGTATTGGTCATGGTTATGCTATTGTTGATGATCCATCAGTATATGATTTAATCCGTCTTAATGATATTCATCTTGAATGTTGTTTAACATCATCCATTCAGACGAATGCTATTGCAAAATATATTCCAAAAGATAGTGAAAAAGAAGAAAAACATATTATGTTACATGGTCATGAAACAACAACAAGATTACATGTCCACATAAAATCAAAAAAGGAAGTTTGGCATCCAGTACATCATTTTGCTCGTGATTGCTTAAATTTTTCATTATCATGTGATGATCCATCGGTATCACAAATAACAATTGAACACGAATATCAACATGCATTATCTGATTTAAAATTATCACCAGCACAGTTAACTCGATGTATTTTTAATGCAGCACGTTCAACATTTTTAAATGATGACGAAAAACAATTATTAATTCAACGTTTACTCACTAAATACATTCCAGGAGAACTTATGAAAGATAGTTTTCGTGATAATATGATGTCAAATTCGACATTGTCAGAAAATATTTAAAATTTATAACTGTTATTTTACAGATCGGCACAAGTATTTTGATATTCTTTATGTAGCACAAACTAGTACGACTACTTTATTCTGCAATCTAATTCAATTGTTGTAAAAGTGTTGTTTTCATATGAATTTTGGTTCAGGAAGAGTACGATTTTTGAGTAATTGTTCCTTTTATCTCTAACAAAACTGTCTATTAAATAAATTTGTAATATGATTATGCACAGAATGTCCTAATAGTTAATTACTTAAAACAAATTGTATAACGCAACCATTTCATTTGCTGAATACAACCTTTTCGTCTACTTGAAAAAGACATGGTCGAGATTTGATTTGATAAAAAAATATTAGCTTTCTCAGAATACTTCTGAAAGCATGATGTAATACTACTTTTTTGTTTTTGTTTTGATTTCTTTCTTGACTTTGCTTTTCAAGTCATCAATATCTTCAGCATGTGCTTTGAATACAAATGGTCATGTATTTGCTTTCATACAATGATACTGAAATATCATGCATTGATACACATTCTACATTGTGATCAATCTTATTATAAATATTTGATAAAAAACACGTTCTTTTCTGAATTTATTCATAACATGAGTAACGAAATGATTGGTAACACTTCAAGATTTACTTTTAACATTCAGAGAAATAAAGTGAGAAAAATCAATGAAAAACATCGATCTATTCTAGACACCAAAATTATGACTCTTGATACTCGAGTCATGTCATGAATCACAAAAGTGAGTTTGTATTGAAGAGTCACAGAAAAACAAACTGTCAAACAGATTGTAAGTCATTGAGAGAAACAATGATGAAAGTTTGTATAGAATCGTCCAGGTATTAATTCTATTGAGCCAAAGTCGATAGCACACTATATGAATAATGAACTTGGTTTGAATTCTTATAATCTAATTTCGAGAAGATTGATACATTTATAACTAGAATCATGGTATTGTGCTTTAGTACTGCTCAATATCTATAAACTTTGTGTCTGAATAATTACAATATTGATGGAAAAATAAGTTTATTTAATTTGTCAAATATATGAGATAGAAGAGAATAAAGAGAGTGCTCGAACTATTTTGTCAAACTCACATGCTACATTATTATGCACACGTCTAATATGATGCACAATCGAGCATAGCTTTTGCAATTTTTCCCTATGAATAATGAAACTACTTGCTCGATCTGTTGATCTCTTTGTTTATTGTTTATTATTCTATTGTAGCAATAAAAAAAATACGGCACACATCTACAAAGAGAACAGATAGATGCAAATCATCAAAAATAGAACATTTAGAAATAAAGTAAATGAGACCAACGTCTATTAAAACAATTAAGACAAACTATAGCAAATATACATAAACTGTTAGCAATGATAATCGTATTAGTACACACTACTTGAGTTAAATAGTATTTACCATGATCTCCAATTTTATTTTAAAAGAGCGACAAGATTGTGAATGTCTACTAGTACAATAAATACATGAGACAGAAGAACAAAGACGAACAAACATATGTTACTAAATTGCTTTTTCAATTATTAGTCAAATATTGTACCCCATCGACTTCCATTTAATTACCGTAAAGATGAAGTAAAATAAGTGTCTATGGCAAAAAAAAAATGAAAAGTACTAATCGAAGATATGCACGGTTATTGAAAAGAACACCGTTGTGTTAAAGTGCACCGACTAGATGACCTGCTCTACTGTTTCTCGTATGACTGTCGTTTAAATCAAGTAATTGAAGAGTTTGTATAAGTGAGAATGGTATCAATGTAATAAAGACAAAGAAAAAAAAAAGTTACCTGTCATATTTTTCGTAATGGATTGATTAGATGCTCTACTCCTTGTCTACCAAAGTAAGAACTTCACAGCATTCATTTAACTAGCACCTACGTGAAAATTTGACTATTGGCACAATAACAGTTCGTCAACATGGTCTCCATGAATAAATGGACTAACTTGAAGATATAGATGCGGGTGTATGTGCAAAGGTCTCATGATGCGAATCTTCTATTCACCCACATACAAACATTCACTGTTACGTTCATACAACCTCTGTCTCACTGATTTGTCCATCGGGTACAGTTGCATCGAGGTCATACAAAATGAGTAGTAGTGCCAGCACGAAGGAAAAACATTGTTTGTGAACTATTATAAAATGGGGAATGTATAAATTAAGCACAATGCACGCACTTAAATAGTATTTCGTGGAAACGGAAGTAAGATTACGTACTATTGAATATGTTGAGATTGTTATTTATATGCCAATGAGTTGCTTAGAATTCTGAGAAGAAACCATAGATGACGTTAGAAAGTGTTTCATACAGATGAAGGCCTGTATTTATATGCATTTTAAAACGACTGACTATATACAATACTCATTTGGTTTTATTTAATTTGGAATCGATACTAGTGTGCATGCATGTCTATGTTGGAAAACGGGAGCATGAGGGTGGGTTTGGTGTGCGGTTGAAGAAAATTTTCATAGCGAAACATTTTCCCGATCATATTAGCACCTACACTTACTTCTCTGAAAAGTCACCTATCTGTTACTCTGTTCTTTAGTTTTTTGTTGTGGCTGACACTGATGCTATCGAATTGATAGTTTAAACGAAATTTCTCATTTTCCATAGCAAACTCGTATACTGATTATGCTATCAAGTTAGTGAACAATATATCATGTCTCTTTGAATGTGCTAGACTTTCAAGCTAGTATTTATGAATGTATTATTGCAAAAATTGCGTAGCGAAACCTTGATGCTGTACTCGAAGTCTGTTGATGATTACGAAAATGTGTGTTGGTGTAAAATTAACAGTCGAAGTTGCTATTATGATCTCTTTTTATTTATATTAACAACTCAAAAGCAAAGCTTTTACTCATATCTATCGGCGTGAGTTTATTGGATATTTTCGTCAAGTTTCTCCTGAGAACAGAACTCATTGTCGAACGATTGTTAGAAATTCTACAGATTTGCTTGTTTGATGATATCGGACTGGGTACTCAGGTATTGTGCAAAAAGTGACTTGTGTGTAACGTAATACTACTGTTTTGCGAAGCTCTCTAAGCTCTCATCAAGCTTTGATTCTTCTATATACCTTAATAAATTGTCTTCGCTCAAATCACTTTTGGTAATCGTATTTAGTGTTTTAGAGCGAATTGGGACGAATCACCAAAGAGAGCTAATCATAAATCTGGCAGTTATTGCAAAAAACTTCTTTTTTTCTGTTGTTCCCGTTGCTTTTCATTTTATCGCACTTTCATAAATAAAAACTTGATATTTCTTTAACCTTCCGATACTTTTTTAGATCAAAATCTTGTCAAACATAAAAGATGATATGGACATGGATAATGCTACTTTTGCTTCTTGTGTCAAGCATGTATTTGATAAAACAAGGAGCATACATTGAACTCAATTCAGATCATTGTAATCTCGGCGATGTTCTACTCCAAGTATCACTCACTCTCAAAGCTATTGATAAAGTCTTTGTTCAAAGTGATGGTCGATATTTTCCTAAGTCACGCTGCATGGGAAATATGATCATACCAATGAATGGTGCTCGTATTTCGAGTCACTGTCCGATTGACTGGAGCAGAAGTATAACTCCAGTGCAGCATTCATATCATACAATCGGTTACGAAGAAATTTCCGTCGATGGACTGTATAATTTTACTTTAACTGCTGAAGATATCGATGGATCTTATTGTGTTGGAAGCGATAGTAATTTGATTGTATTTGTCAATCCTGCTTCATTTATTCGAAAGAGGTCATTCGTAACCGATAGTTTCATCTTGTCATTTCTAACCCCAACCACAACTGGAGTTTCTGTAGGACATACACTGATCATCATGATCACCGATCTTAATCCTTCGGAGACAGTACTATCGTTAGCTCAAGGTTATGTTTATCAAGGTGGTTTAGAGGGAGATGCGATGATGGGACTCCATTTTGATGGGCAACATCTCGGAAATAATGCCTCCATGTAAACGGTAAATGATATTTTTCATGGAGCAGAACTTGTCGCACCTATGTATACACATGGCTTCGCCTCGGGAGTGAAAACAGTATCTTTTGATGCGTCAGCACTACCATGGGATTTTGCTCCAGATCCGGTTCAATACCATGTTGGAGCCACAACGTCGCTGATAGTGATGCAAGAAGGAATGGAGGTGTTCGGAACAGCTTCGAAATCGTCGAAGAAAGACAATTGGTGGGATGGATCTGTGTGGGTTCTAGTATTGTATGGCATGGGTGTCCACCGGCTGACGGATTTGGCACAGTTCTTGCTGAATCAGTGATTGATATCCCACAGAATCATTCTGGTCTTCTAATGATTATCGCCAAAACGCGAATCCACGGCGATGAAAAAGATCTCGGCGGAACGGCTCTCCTGAGAATTGAATTAGATGGACAGCCCGTAGGATTCATAGGTATCCAGCAATTGGAACATCCTCATTGCGTTAGTTCAAGGACGATAAGCGTGAGTTACTTGGCCACTAGTCTGACACCAGGAAAGCATACTTTACGAGCTGTTGGTGCAGCAGTGGGATCATTTAAACATGTGAGCACTTGCAGAGATTTATCACTTGTCTGGTTCGACTGAATAAGCAGATTGAACAAAAAGAGAATATGTTGCTACTCTCTTTTTCAAATAAATATTCTGCGATGTAAAGGTTCATATTCAATTATTTGATCGTGTCATAAGCCCGATTCTTTTGGATTATTCTTGTCATCCTTATCAACGAATGATAAAAATAGATTGGTAACCTACTAGAGATTTCTTGACTATCTCAAGTAAGATTATATGCAAGCTTTGGTTCTTGATAACTTGTTTTATCTTTCGAAATGCGTAGTGGGCGCTATTTTCTCAAGAAGCAGATCGACAAGACAATAAAAACGTAACTAGAAGTAGTCAAGTATTCCTCTCAATATTCAAAACACACTGAGTAAGATGATTATCACCGTCAATGCTCAGAACCGAATATATGCTTAAATATTAGTAACTATCAAGAGTACCAACCACAGAGTATTCCATTGAATGGTCTAGAACTAAATTATTACTGGGTACGTAGAGTCAGCGCATACTTTTTCATGAATGAGCTTGCTATGTACGCTTTTCTCTCTTTTTTTTAATGGTCACAATCATTCTCAAGGTAAGATAAAGTAATTTTCAAATCTAGTATATTGTTTTTTCCGTCTCCTTGTGAAATTTCGGTTTTGCTCTAATGTGATCAACAGCTATTGTCAAATTGTTCCATGCAAAATTCAAGACATAGTGTTTATTTTCAATACACTAAAGGTTTTCGTCATGATCCCTAGTTCTCATTTTCGTGGTCTTGTGCTCTATCGATGTAATGGTAATTTAATAATTGCATACGGTAAAGTTAGCTGCATGTCTCAAGTGAAAGCATCAAATAGTAAAAACGTTCGGTTTCTAGATGACAAACTTGTTTAAAGTTATGAACGATGCAATATAAGACAGCACAAATGCGCACAGCATTATAATGAGGATGAAGACGAGATCTATGACTAAGAAGAATTTCGATTTTCGAAAGTTTCGTTGTGACATTTAATTACCAAACTATTGGATTCATCTCATTCATGACGCTTCATGATTCATTATTTCATTGTTCAACTTAATCAATACAAAAACTGTCCAATACTCATCAAAATGAGTTTATAATAGATTGTGCGAATGACTGTTTTAATCATTTCTGAATGACAAGTGTCTCTCATTGGCACAAATTTCTATTTTTTAATGAAGTGTATGTTTGTAGAGCGAAAGATGATCACAGAATATGACAACCTTCAGCAAATAATTGAAATTTTTGTTATACTCTGAATATTCAATTACCAAAACCGAGTAGTCTCGTGAATATATTTCGAATTCTCAAGCTACCCAGAAAAACTAAACAATAAGGATGTGAACAAATGAATGTGGATCAAAACATGATCGACATTCGCAGTCACATCTCAGATTAGAAGCATTTCACATGAGAGGAAGCCCATATGAAAAATATTTTTATCTAGATGAACGTCTTTTTTCAAAACAAATAATCAGCCTTTTCTGAACACTATGGTTGTAGTCGTGAATAAACATATTCAACATCTCGTTTTCATATATAATCGTTTTTTTTTTATCTTCACAAAACTATAAAATCGAACCCTTTTTCTACCGACCTCTACACCTAAGTGACTCGAGACGATGACGTTTCAAATAAACAATCAACTCATACAAACCAAAGAAAAGAAGAAAATTAACAAACAGTCATAAAATGATTTTCACTACTCGTTAAAAATTATTCATAGTACTTGCACAACATGCAAGAAATCAATAGATGGAAAAGTCCAACTTTACTTTACAAAAAGGAAGAAATACTCTTCAATGAATACTGTTTGTCACAACCATTAAAAGACACTTTCTGACAATCAACTCACATGCTTTTCATTTTCCTTTCTTGTCGACATAATCAATGCCAATCAGTTTTTTCTTTCTAATCTAGGAACAAATGTATACTTTTATTGTTATACAACTTCTTCTATTCAATAGTATCTGTGCAATATCTTTCTTTAAAACTAAAAAAGAAGTTAAAAAAGATCTTGGTGCTGTAATTGGTATTGATCTGGGTACAACATATTCATGTGTGGGTATTTATAAAAATTGTCATGTAGAAATCATCGAAAATGATCAAGGTAGCCGAATAACACCATCTTTTGTTGGTTTTACATCGAATGGCGAACGATTAGTCGGTGATGCTGCTAAAAATCTACTTACAACGAATCCTGAAAGTATGTCTATATACCACTTAGTTAATGATCTGTTTTATTTTATATTATTTACAGGTACAATATTTCATATGAAACGATTGATCGGTCGCCAATTCGATGATCCAATGGTAACACATGATATAAAGATGTTTCCATTTAAAGTCATCGAAAAAAATGGAAAACCATTTGTACAAGTATATACAGGTCTTGAAGAAAAGTTATTTACACCCGAAGAAATTTCTGCAATGGTACTTAGTAGAATGCGTCAGATTGCTGTAATATATTCATTTATTTTCATTCAAGTTGAAACCATAATCTGTTTTTGTTTCTAGGAAAGATATCTCGGACAGAATGTAACAAATGCAGTTGTTACAGTACCCGCTTATTTTAATGATGCACAACGACAAGCAACGAAAAATGCTGGCACAATAGCCGGTTTAAACATACTCAGAATTATTAATGAGCCAACAGCAGCAGCGATTGCGTATGGATTAGACAATTTAAATAAGAAGGACGGCGTTAAAAATATTCTTGTATATGATTTGGGTGGTGGTACATTCGATGTTTCGGTTTTAGCACTTGATAATGGTGTATTCGAAGTACTTGCTACCAATGGTGATACACATTTAGGTAGATTTTGTTCAATTTTCTTTGTGAATAATATAAAATTTTCATTCATGTTTAAGGTGGTGAAGATTTCGATACACGTGTTATGGATTATTTTATAAAATTATTTAAAAAAAAATCCGGTCATGATATAGGTAAAAATATTCGTTCTATAGAAAAACTGCGACGTGAAGTGGAGAAGGCTAAACGAATTTTATCATCAGAACATGAAACACGAATTGAAATTGAATCATTTGTTCACAATCAAGACTTTAATGAAAAATTGACACGTGCTAAATTCGAAGAGCTCAATATAGATCTTTTTCGTTCGACGATGGCACCCGTTCGGCAAGTGCTGAAAGATGCTAAATTAGAAATATTTGATATTGCCGAAGTTCTTCTGGTCGGTGGTTCCACTCGAATACCAAAAGTACGGCAACTAATAAAAGATTATTTCGACGGTAAAGAGCCAGCGCGTAGTATCAATCCAGATGAAGCTGTCGGTGAGTCAAAAATATGAAGAAAATAAATTGACTTATATGATAATATTTTTCTTTTGAATATAGCCTATGGCGCAGCTATTCAAGCAGCTATACTATCGGGTGAAGAATGTACCAGTGACATTGTTATATTGGATGTGAATCCATTGACATTGGGTATTGAGACTAAAGGTGGAGTAATGTCAGAAATTATTCCACGAAATACTCCAATACCGATTATATATACGAAGCCCTATTCAACCACTGAAGATGATCAAACTTCCATGGACATAAAAGTATTTGAAGGTGAACGGTCAATGACAAAAGACAATCATTTTTTAGGTCATTTTGTTCTATCGGGTATAACACCCGCACCACGTGGTGAACCACAAATTGATGTTACGTTTGAAATTGATGTTAATGGTATTCTCAATGTAAATTTGATAATTTAAAATGATATTTAAATTCTGGATTCTATTTCATTAGGTCACTGCTAAAGATAGAGATACAGGCAATAAGAATAATATTGTAATCAATGCAGATAAAAATCAATTATCACAAAAACAAATAGTTCGAATGGTTAAAGATGCACAGAAATATGCAGATGAGGACAAAAAAATAAAAGATCGAATCGAAAGCAGGAATAATTTAGAAGCGTAAGTGTTGTCTTTCAACAATTGTGAAATACAGATATTATGCGTTTTCTATCTCTTTCGCTTTCTCTTTAAAGATATGTCTATGCGTTAAGAAATCAATTAAAAAAACCAAATACATTCCTTGAACGTTTATCATCAACCGACAAAACAACACTTGGAAATGCTATTGAAAAGGAAATCGAGTGGTTTGAATTAAATCCGCAAGCTTCAATTGATGAACTGAAGGTACAAGCTGATCAATTTGAAGAGATTGTTACATGGATAACAAACAAATACGACCAACAAAGTAGTGATTTCAATAGCACACGACGACAAACATATGCCCAAAGAACCGATTTGTAAAACTCACATGAACTTAGATACCAATTAACTGAACAAAATCATTTGCTTATGGTAAAATTTAATGCGTCGATCACATCAACAACTCGATTGAATGATTGATTGCTGTTTTATTAGATAAATGATTCGTTTTCAACCCAAATAAAAATTATCCGCAAACTTTTTGTCGAGTTAGGATCTTTGTTTGTTCTAGTTAATTGTTGATAGGTCGCATTCTTACGTGTGGATGTGAGTGAGATGCGGATTGAGTGGTGTTGAACGTGAATAGATCGGCTACGGAGGTGAGAGAGACTTTTTTAACCTACACTTATACCTACTCCTTCTTGAGTTGTTACTGATGGTACATTTCTGTATTACTCAAACACGCCAACAGTGCTGGAACAATAGAAACTCGAAGCAGTCACTGAAAGCTCATCTGCACTCATAACAAGACATCTCTGCAACAGTCTATCGAATCGAACAAACAAATGTACTGAAGAAATAGGAAGATGATGTCCACGTTTGCGAGTATTTGGTGTTTTTGAATAGTGTCGACAAGTTGTAGATGTAGAGCTCAAGTCAGTTAGAATTCGTCCAGCTCTTCTTTGCTATAGTGTTGGAGGAGGGATAAGCAGTTAAGAAGTAAAACAAGGCTGCCTTTCTTAAAAGTGTTGCTTTTCTGTTGGTGAAAATTTGGCATCTTAGCAGTTTCGCTGTTGGATTTGCAGCAAATTATTATGAAAATTCACTGAATCTAATAGTTTATATCGAGTCGTATTTGAATCGATCAACAAGACTACTAGACTCTGCTATGAAACAAGACCTTTCAATAACAATCCGATCGTTTTCGAGAAATCCACATATTTTAGAAGAGTAATTAGTAGGGTAATTGAAGGCAAACCATATCGGACTATGTGAGAGTGCGTTGCCATTTCATTAAGCTGTCAAAATGGTTAATGAAAATGTAGGTGAACAGCTCAGAAGTATATATGAAATGTTATGAAAGATGAAAAATTATTCTGTGAGTGTGGTTATCTATTAAGAATGAATATTTCAGTTTATTATTCAATATTCATTGTGGCGGTATGCACTTCATTTTACAAGACACATTGAAGAAATACTACTGAAGCATGTAAAACACAATATAAGCTTAGTGAAGCAGTGAAATATTGTCTTTCAGGGACAACAAAGCCAAGCATGTTTGACCTGTCGCCATACATTTTGATAATCAATACCAGCTACCAAAGTATCAGGAACTTCGAAACCATCACTGTATACTCCACCAAATGTGCAATTATCCCATTTGTGATAATAGTCATTCGTCAAATAACATGAACGTGATACAAAACGTTTTTGACTTGCCTTTCATTTCTGGATTCTCTGTCGCTCACTGTTTCGTTCACAGGGTACAGCTGTAGCGAGGCCATACAAAACGAATGGTAATAGAAGTACGAAACAGAGACACGCTTTGCGAACCATTATGAAATAATGCATGCATAAACTGCTTAAGATGCATTTCCTTAAATAATGCTTTGTGAGAATATTAGTGTGACGGCGTATTATTAAGTAATTTGAATGTTATTCATATACTAATGGCTTCTTTTGAATTTTGAGGAGAAAGCCCAGCTTACTTTAGAAAATGTTTGATACAGATGAATAATTGCATTGTAATATGTTTTGAAACGGCGTAATGCGCATTCACTGCTTATTTGTGTTTATTTGCTTTGAGGCTGATGCGTGCATTCGGGAGAATGAGAGTGGAGAATTGTGTGTGAGCGAAGAGAAGATTAATATCTACACGTAATACATATTGATGAACATCCTTGATTGACGATCAATTTCAATGAATTTCGAACAACTCCAGCGTATTTCAATCAATCGTATTATCGGTCTATGAGTTAGCTAGTCCTTACTGATTTTCAGTGGTACAGTTACTAGTAAAGACCGATTACTTGTTGGCCGATAACCTATGCTATGACAAACCTAACCTATGCTCACACCATTCGCCACTGAAATACACACACTCATAACCATACGCACATCTATAGGCCATACGATTAGGTGGGGGATGCTGGGGTATTTCCCCCGGCTAATTTTTTTCCTATGTATTAGTTTTCTCCCTAAGAATTTTAGGAGCAGAACTGTTTTTATCTTTTAGTAAGTACGACGAGCTGTGCACAAACAAACTTGTTGTATTTTCTGATACAAAATAGTTTTCTCTGTATAACTGCAGGGAGAACTGCTTGCTGTATCACATACGAACTATTTTCTAGCGATGTATGCTATTTTCTCTTTGAGTTTGAACTATTTTCTCTTTCAATGTGTGCTGTTTTCTCTTTAAGTTTGGACTATTTTCTCTTTCAATTTAAACTAATGTCTGTTTGAATTTTCAAAGAGAAAATGAATCATTTGTAAAGGCAATAAAAACAGGCAAATATTATCAATGATATTTCTTGTTCAAAAATCTCTATTCCAGTTTACAATATTTTATATCAAGATTGAAAATATGTCCAGTTCTGAAAAAGGACTTTGTCCTATTTGGCGGGTAAACGTTCAAGTGAAAAATTTCAAGCGTCACTGGTGTACTCATCATGAACGAAATGAAAAAAAAAGAACATATGATGAAGTTTTCAACACCTTAAAGACGAATATTTCAAATCAACACAAAATTACCACAACACCATCAATTGACAAATTTTTTAACCATAAGAAACGTCGATTAAGTGAAGATGTACAACAAGAATGCATAACAACAATTATTCAAGAAAATTTTGATATTCTTTCTTCTCCATTATTAAGTTCAAATATTCACTTGAATGAAAGCAACAGCGATGATTATGATGATATGATCGTATTACGACAAATACTCGAAAATATATTTGTTCAATTAGAAAATGAACAACATATTTTTTATACAAGTTCTATTATAGATAAAAATAATCATTTAATATCAACAGATAATTCATCTATTGATATGATTGAGACTGAAAATATAAATGATAATGATGTTTCAATGTCATTAAATGATTTACTACATGATATTATTAGTCCTAATACAAGTTATAAAAATTTAATTGATAATGAAATGTGTTGTTCATTGACATATATACCGATTAATCGTCCTCCTTGTGTTAAAATATCAATACCAGGTGTACAATTTATAACAGATCAAGAATTAAAATTTGTTGATCAACAACGATCATTATTGAACGATGATATTTGGTTACCAGATGGTGCTGGTGGTGAATCAAAGCCAAGTTCAACTTGGTTCACAGCAGCACGAGCAATCTAGCTTCGCGCAATATATTCGGAAAAAAAATACGGATTATTATGCATTATTTGTGCACAAGAAGCAAAATGTAACTCAAGATTAGTGAAAAACAAAGGAGGTTTTATTTCTCATCCTTATTGGAAACTGCTGCACAAAGGTCTTGAAGGTATGATTAACTATGAAAATCTTTCAATAGCTCTTTAATCTATTGAGTCTAAATTCTTCATACAACTAAGATCATCACAAAAGGACATTCAGGTTTCGGTGAAGCTTTTGATAGCATACTAAATCAAAATCATTTTTCAAAATTAGTGCCTTATCGGTAGATTTGGCAATTTGATGCACCAGTTTTTCCTAGATTAGTTTATATAATTATGACGCTGCAGTGTTTATCAAGATATGTAATATATTTGTCGAAGTTAAGCTGATACTCGAATCCAAGTCTCCCAGAAGCTTTTAATTGTATCGCAGTAGTAAATTAAGAAGAAAATTTGTCCAAAATTAAATTTTTTTCCCCACAAAAAGTGTTGATTTTATGAAAAACACTTTTTCAAACAGCTTTATCGTAGGAATTAGACAACATGAAGAATCTACACTTCATAAACAATCATTAATGAAATATCAATCAAAGATACAATCTGAAGATCATGGTACAGTTATAGAACAATTAAAATCAACAAAAATTAATACAAAAACAGCAAGTTTAAATTATTTACGTGCTATTGCACGATCGTTTATTTTCTTATTGAAGCAAGAATTTGCATTTATGAACTTGAAAGATTTGATCCAACTACAACATCTAAATCTTTCTGAACCAATAGTTCAATGGCTATCTATAGCTAACAGAAAAGAACTTTATTGGAGTGGAGAAAGTCGTAGTGATTGGTTACTTAGTGTGCAAAAGTGGCTATGGAAAAAACAACTAGAAGAATTAAGAAATGTTACTTATATTACAATAATAGCAGATGAAACATGCGATGTTACAGTGATGGAACAATTATGTATTTGTTTACGTTATTTTAATCCTTCTACCAAAGAATTAGTTGAAAGAATTATTTGTTTATAGGAAATACATTCTCAAACAGGAGAAGTACTTCTTGCTATATTGTATTTAATATATTTTTGCTTTTTTATAGGCGATTTTTGATGTTATTAATCAATTCTTATTCGATTTAGAAAAAGAATTAGATAAAAAATTTATTCTAATCGGTCAATGTTTCGATGGTGCATCTTCAGTTAGGTGTCAAACTCAAGGACATATTAGATCAAGAATTAATGCATTCGCTTTTTATGTACATTGTCGAAGTCATTTGATTAATCTTTCTGTGAAAGACACACTATCAAATGAATTTTATCAATCATACGATTTAATTCACAGAACACTTGTCTTTTTTCAAGAATCTGCACAACGATTGGATATATTAAAAAGATCACAAATCTTTCATGCAACAAGTAAAGAAGGTAAAGAAAAACTCTTTTCACTTTAACGAAGGAAAATAAATTTAAGAGAGAAAAAACTCATTATGTGGTATTCTTATTTCAAAAAATGTTTTGTATCTAATGTTTTATGCTTTTCTAAAGGTTCTAAAGTACCAAGTGCAAGTGACACCCGATGGGTGTATCACTATCAGTTAGCTGAATTTGTGTGGACCCACATGGTTTCAATTGTATCAGCTTTAATCCAAATTCATGAAAAAAATAAAGATGGTTTGGAAACAGCAAATGGATTTGCAATTCGTTTTGTTAATGAAAAATTTATTTTCCAAATTGGAATTATGAGAATTATATTAGGACATGCTAAACTGTTTTTAGAACAAACAGAAAGTTGTTCTATGACATTTGATAAATTTTCAATATGCTTAGATTCAACTACTGTTCGTATACAAAATACATTAAATGAATTTGATTATGAAATTTATAAACAAAAAGTTAAAGAATGTCGTGATCTTTTACCAATGACACACCGAACAGCTCATTCAACACGAAGTTCCATATCTATTAATAATAATGCCCATGATAATCATATGGATATGGATAATGATTTGAATAATTATGGCTTAAAGCTTATTAATTCTACAATAAATTCTATTAATGAACGTTTTGGAGAAGATTCTCGAATTATCATGGATAATATTACAATGTTTATAAAATTAAATGATTATAGTAACGAGGAAGTATTGAAAAATCCTTTATTAAATTTATATTGTAATGAAATGTATTATAAACACAAAGGAGTTGACAATAAAATTTATGAACGAACTGATGAACCTTTATTATGTTTTGCAAAATTACAAAAAGAACTTCCACAACTACGTGTTTTATTAAAAAGTGCAAATAACGATGTTAAACGAATGCAAATGAAAATAATTAATGATGAAGTTTGTTTATTAGATATACTAAAGTTTTTATCAATCAATGCAAATTATTTGGTACCTGAATGGTTAAAATTATATCAAATATTAACTACTTTACCTATTGGATCTAATGAATGCGAAAGAAGTTTTAGTGCATTAAAACGAATTAAAACCAAATTACGAAATAGTCTCTCATTCACAGCATTAGAAACGGCTGTGAAGTTTAGTATTTTAAAACCGGATGTTACTGATAATGATTTAGATGATATTGTTCAACATTTTTGTATGTACCCAGGAAGAGCAAAAGCTCGTAACATCAAGATATACAAGTACCAAGATAATGATGACGATGATGATGATGATGATGATGTTAATGATAAATAATAATTAAAACCTAATACTCTTTTCAAAGAATATTATTTTTGAAAATATTTATATATTTTTGTATACAAAAAATTAACTTGTTTTCATTTTTCTGAATTTCTTGCTCAGCTTTATATGCACAAACAACAACGAAGAAAATAACAATCTATTGAATAACGCTGTTTTGAAAGCATCATCTAATACTATATTTTAGCGTAAAAAACGAACGTAAAAAACCGCTTCTCTTTCACTTTGGGAGACTTTCTCGCTGGAATTTTCCCCCAGCTGAGCAAAATTAAACGAAAGCTATGACAACTTTCTATCAAACAGTTTGATCAGAAAACACGTTGCATTTACGACAAAGACGATTGATGAAAGGTCTACTGCTAAGTGTCATGTCATGATACAAGCTGTATATATGACAAAACAAATCACTATTCAATATAATGTTAACAGTAGCACGGAAAATACATACGATGAATTGACACTGTCTACAACTATCACATACTTGAAAATAGGTTTGGAACTTTCTACAAACACTATTAAATATGTATGCTCTTCGAGTGACTTTTGTGAAGTTGAATTTGTTGAAAACTAGTTAACGGGGCTAATTAATGCCGATTATACTGCTTTGAAAGGACAAATAAGGAATTCACTAATGAATAATGTTATCAACAATGATGAGTCTGGCATGTGCTATGTTGGTGGTACGTTGAATGCATGTTCTAGTGGTATGTGTATTGTTGAATGTATTCAATCTGTCTTCACTACTATATGTCTGCATGAAAACAGTGATATTTCATCTCAGCCATCCCTACAAGAGACTATGAAGCGGTTCATGCTAGGCAGCGTCACTGTTATAACAACAATAGATTTGAAGAACACCAATGCACGCAAAAGTGATAAGCAAATGAAAGCGATTTATTCCGAAAAATATAACATATATTCTGCTATTTATTTTATTTGCTTTTCCAACGGGTGTAATCAAGAGTCTGTACTGAAGACCGTACTTCCTGCAATCAAATCGAATTATGAATTTGAATCAGTGCTTCAGCTACAATTATTAATAAAAGAGGACATCAGTGAAGCAAAAATGTTCATCAAATGAATGAAGAATTTCGTAAAACTTGTTCAGTAAAATTGACACTTTGGAAAAAACAAAAGTTATTTTCAAAAACTAGCCATTCCTTGGTAAACTCGTCAATTTTCTGATACTCATTTATCGATTACGAAAAATGTTACAGTAACTTATCACGACTGATTTGAACTCATGACTATTACTATCGAACGGATCTCGTTCGTGTAACCCCGATAAAGTACCTTCTTTGTCATCATGAAAAATTTGAAATCTATCCGATGCATGTGCTTCGGTAAATTTAATTGTTAACTTTAGCATTGTTATCAACAGGACTGTAATAGTCATAGTAATAATTATCTTATATTGCATGCTAATACATAATTAATTGATGTTGAATAAACAAAATCTAAGGTGGATAATTAACTTTTACTTCACAATATTAGCGTGTCTGTATGATAATTATCCAGCGTGAAAAAGAAGAAAAAAACTCATAAAAATACGTAATGTTCACCTTTCCGCTTATGAAATAATGACGGAAAATTCAAATGCAATTGATTTTGTTCATCTAAAAATGATTTCCAAGCATAGATATTCGATTGTATGTGCGTATTGATAAAGTAGTGAAGTGCTAGAGAAAAACACAAGAATGCTCGACTAGATATCCTTTTTTTTTGCTCTTTAAACTTTGTTTGATACGTATACGAGTTATTTTTGGAGGAGCTTTACAAATGCAAGACGATGACAAACTTAATAACTCCAATGTTCACTTTATTTTATTTCACTTGATTTATTTCAATTCTTATTAACTACCATGGATAATCTAAACAGACGATAGATTAATTTTATATTTAGCTTCTAATATAGGAGGAAAAGAACATCAGTCAGTTTAAAAAAACTTAGCTGTTTAAATTTCGAAAATAAAATTAATAGCTATTTTTAATACTTTTTTAAGAATTTTCTTAAATGTTATTTTATTTTTGAAACTATCCAGCCGGTAGACATAGAAAAACAAGACATGATTCATTCCAAATTTGATTACATAGCTGTACAGAAAACTCGAAGTGGTACAATATCTTCTCTCATTCAATTGTATTGACATCCAAAAGACGATTGCAAATTGATAAAAAAAGTGTTTTTCTTTCTTATTTTCCATCTCTTTATCAAATATTAAGACAGTAATTAACAATCATTACATCAAAGTATTTCCACGAAACTAAGTTAGTGTAAGTTGTTCAGAAGTAATATATTATCTTTTACTAGGGAATATAAAAAATCAAACACAAAGATCATTGTACAATATCAAAAAAGCATAAAATGTTACTCAAACTGTAGAAAAACATTAGCTCAAACTACTGGAAAACCTATCAATTATAGTATGACTTCTATCAAAATGATAAAAGCGTATTTGTTTTAAAATCTATGAGAACTTTATACCGTTTCAATTGTCGTGTTCTTGAACACTATATTTTATGCCAATCAGATAAATATGAAATTTGAAGCATCGTGTAAGAATAAAAACAAATATGAATAGTTGCTGTACTCACAATGTTTAAATATCAATGATTACCTGTAAACCTGAGCAATATCTGTTTTCTAAAAAAATGCACATGTTGAAGAAGAACCTGTCCTTCAAATAGCTAGCTAATTTGAAAACTATATACTTTATGTCTGTCAATAACATTATATTTCAAAAAATTTCATAAGCAACTGTGAAATGACGAAACTATCGCATATTATAAAGTCTACATTATTTTAAAGTAAGCCGCATTGTCAACTCTATGGTAAGTAAAGAAACACGTTATATCTTTTTTTTTCTGTCTAACTTAAGAAAATATCGGATTCTTAAAAAAAATACATTCTAATCTTCACTATTAGAATTCATACCAACGATAGATGTCATAAATGTATATTGAACAGGGGTCATAGATGAACCGATGGTTTCACTTTTTAACCAATAAAAAGTGAATTATTTTAAAGAAAGAATGAAAAGTAAGCAACAAAAAGAAAAAGCTTGATCGATCGGTCGAGTGCATAAAGAAAGAAGAAATAAAAAAAAGCGTTTCATTCGATTCTGTTAGTCGTCGGTAATTTTCAAAACGCTTGAAATTTGAAAGAGAATAAGAAAAAGTGAGACAGAGAAAAAAGTTTATATTATTCTCCACATTTCATTGTCGATCTGAATGTCTGAGACGCATGAAGAAAAATAACAAATAAAAATATTTTTCTTTGTTTTTTGATATTCAGCATGTCGATTCATTAAATAATAAAAGTATCATTTAAAATATGTCGACAACTGCTTATCGAAGTACTCATTCATCAAGATCATTTACACAGAAGCATATTCAAACATCATCTACCAATGCTATTCTTCCTACGATGACAAACGATCGTACACGATTTCAATCACCAACAAATAATATCCCTCCACCAGTACCACGTATACGTGAATCATTATCAACTAATTCAATAACATCCACAAAAACGTCATCATCAATAAGTCAATCTCCATCACTTCCATTTCAATCATTTTCATCGGTCAATTCTTCAAATAAAAACTCAACAAATAAAATCTCCAAACAACCATATACATTTAGTAATCCACCACGTGAACTTCAACGACAATCTGTACAAAATATGAAATATTTACGTAGTAGTCATTTACGTCAACGTGTTTCATCAGCACCAGATGAAAATTCATCTCAAAATTCCCCACGTTCAGTTATAAATCAACAAAAACCATCATCAGCTAATGAATCATCAACACCACGTTCACATGATGATAATCATATTCAACAATTACCAAAAAATCATTTATTAAAACGTGATGAACAACAAAAAAGTTCATTAAATGCTTTAATTAAAGAACAAGAACGATCAAAAGTTCCTAAAGCCGTACAAAAACGACGAATTATTTTACTGTTTCGTCGTTTACCATCCTCAACATCACCATTAATATCACCAAGACAGCTACAAAATTCTTCACCAATTAAACCAGATAAAATTTCAAATGACATTCATCAACAAGATAAAAAGGCTCATGATGAAATTCAACGTTTTACAAATAATACAAGTGAAAATTTTCTTATTTATTTTTACAAAAACTTTTCAATTATTTCTATTTATTTTAAAGCATTTTCATCATCAGATTCATGTACTAATGATCCATTTCATGGTTTTGATCAAGCTGAAATAGCCGATTCAAAACAAATAGCTGCTATACTTGCTAATATACAATCATCAGATGAATGGATTCCTAATACAGTCAATGGTGGAATTTCTCCACGACACCAACAAAAAACTTTTGATCCAACAAAATATGAATATGTTACAAAAAATTCTTTAGATACAACAACATTTAAACTTTCGCCACGTACATTAAAACCTGATGAAGATTTAGCAGCTCGTTCACGTTTTTCACTAAATTATCGTTATGAAATGCTTTCAAGTGCTAATGCACAAATACCACCATTAATGGCTTCAATTGTTACTGAAAATAATAATAATATTGGAACTGGTACTGTTAGTGAAAAAACTTTTACATTTAGATTAAACCCAACAACTACAATGAAGAAACAAAGTTCACTTGATGATATTGAACCAATGCCATCAACTATGGATGGTGAACAAGTCCAATTATGTTTTGATGAAATACTTAAATGCTTCTATGATCCAAATACAGGCACATATTATGAATTGACGTCTGCATAAATATCTCATCAATGTTTCTCTTTTATTAAATTCTTATACAATTCGTCTTCCATAAAGTATTATATCATATAACACATATTTTATTTCTCAAATTGCATTTTTTGTTGCTTTAGTTTTTGCACACTGATACTTATTTTTTTCTTTTCTTTTGTTTTTTTTCCTTAATGTATGATAACGTCTACTATATGTTACATATATATATTTTTTTCTTTCTGTGTTTATTCGTTCAATCTATTTATCATCATGTATTTCTATGGACAAGTATCAAAACAAAACAAAAAAAATACCAAATAATGATTTATTTATTTCATTTTACTTTTTTGTGTTTCTTTCTTTGTCTATCCAATACGATAAGAGAAAACAAAACATAAATTCTAATCTCCCTTTCGGTTACTGCTTACTCGCTTGTTGTCGATGCTTATCGATCGTAAATCCCTCCTGTTTGTTTTGGCGATTGAACGACAACTCAATAGACACACACACACGTATAATATATATACATATTCAAAACGAAATAGATAGACTGATCTATTACTAAATCGAATTTCTTTTTCTTTCGTAGTTTTAACTAAGAACATTGATCGATTTGACATTTAAGATGATGCAAAAAATGAAAATGAATATATTTGTATTTGTTTAGTCCGAGAAATTATAAAAAAAAGATAAATTGATGAAAAAGAAAGTTTGTTTCTTTCTTTCTTTCTTTTGAGTACTCAGTCCCTTTCTTTAATATGAATTATTTTTTCTTGTTGAGGTTCGTTATATTGACGTTATAAGTGCATCCTTTGTTTCCCCTTTGTCGCTCTCTTGAGAAGACAGAAAAATTCACACACGACAAGAGAAAGTAGACATCATCAAGAGTTGTTGCGTGTACAAGCGCAAAGGAAAGAGAGTAAGTGCCGATGTGTTAACATGATTACACTTGTCTGTGTGCCGGGTACCATCGACATCGAACATTGCTGCCAACAATGAGGTCGTACAAGAAGAAGAGAGAGAGAGAAAGACTGTTTAGTTACATGCAGCCCGTTTCGATGAAGAATGGTCCAATTTCAAAGCAAAAGCAGCTGTTTGAAGCTCGCTTTTCAGACGCTTATCATCCGATTGTTGATGTAGTATGATGATGATTTGTCTATGAAAGAAAAAAAAGAAGGACAGAAAGAAAAAGAGAATAATTTTAGAACGAAGTGAGCATCATCATTCTTTTTGCTTTGCTCTATGCTAGTATCGAAATATATACAATCTTTCATCCCTAATTGTAACCATCTACGTTCCACCTTCTCTTTTTTTCTTCATAAGTGTATGCACATTTGGTGATCACATCTTATTGATATTTGTTGGCACTCGATGATGTCAAGGCTAAAGAATCTATCAATGCAAAATCACACTTGATTCATTCATTTCTCACTAACATAAAACATTTGCCTTACCAAATGTTGATAGTATTTCTTTTTTTTCTTCTTCTTCTTGCCTATAATGTAACATTTGTATTTTCATTTTAATTTAAGAAAAAAACAATAAAATAAAATGTTTATATAATCATCAATATTTTAGATGTTAACTAGTGACATAAACAGCAATTCTAACAACGACATCTCATCATGTAAGTTAATTATTGCTTATATTAGAAGACTGTTCTTAACCTCTTGGTTGCATATGACAGATCAAGGTTTGTAGTTTGTTATTTTTGTTTTTCGTAGATTCCATTTATTTATATTGAAAACACGATGTCATCAACAATAAATTCAACAAAAAATCGTTTTTCACCAACAAAAATGTTACAAAAAAAAACTGGCAGTGAATCTCCACCTTCTCATTTAGCATTAACATCACCACCACCAATAAAACACTGGTGTCAAACATGTCATGAAACAATATTATCATCAAATGGTAATAATCAATCCATTCAATTAAACTTATCAGGTGGTGCTGATAATGGTCAATTCGTTTATTTTAATGAACCAATATCATTACTAAAAAATAATCAAACATCATTTATTATACTCAAAGGTGGTAAAATTGATTTAGAGGAAATTATACTTGAAATCGATCAACATAAAGTTGCTGGTTGTACATTAGCTGATGTTAAATTACTTGTTGAAACACTTTCTATTAATGGAAAACAAATTAAATTGAAAACTGTCAAATCGGGTATAATGTTTTTTTAATCTTCCTATTGATAGATTTACATAACGCTACAAGGCATAAAATAGATCATTTCATTAAGTTGCTATGCACTCACAAACTGCATTAGTAGTCGTCTGAAAGAATAAATTGTTCTTTTATCTTATTATTAATAGGAAAAAGAAATTATGACATTGCTCTACGCGCGTCGTTTATGCTGATCACTCATTTTGTCTATCAATGAATGAGTGTGTCCTGTCATGTCTGTTTATCGAAAATATTTGTTATATATCGGCGTCTCCGTACATTTTTCTTCTTGAACGAGAGAAAAGAAAGAAATAAAGGGCAGAGGTCATAGCGAGTAGTGCATATACATAGATCGATATCATTTTCCTTCACGGGTAAATGATTCGATAACAAGGTCAACCTGCAGTTTTTTCCTTGTATTTATTCACTAGAGTAAAAGATCACGTTGATAGAATCCCATTTCAATCTGTTTTACATATATACATCTCATGAGATGAAAAAAAAATAAAAATTCATGACAATAAATATGCTCAAACATCAGACAGATGAAGGTATACTAGTTTCTTTTTTCTTTTATTCTTGTACATAGATGTATGTATTAATTATGAAAACAACAGTTGTTTGGGGATACACTGATGACTGAACAACATAGATAGTATTGATGTTCGAATGGAACTGATACTATTGAGAGAAGAATGTTATTTGCATCTACTATATCCTTTCATCATTTCTTTCTGAGATGAATCGATCGGCTCTGAGTGGAATTGAGGACGATGCATAAGAGAGAAAGTCATAGAGAATGATACTTAAGTGTTATGTAATCGTAAGTCATATAGAAATATAAGAAAGTAAAAGCAGATTTGATTTCTTCTAATTTTCACAACATAACTATAGGTTTATGAAGAATTTTCAGAAATACACGAAAAGAAAAATACTCAATCATATAATACACATACTTTCTTGTAATCATTTTTTTCTCTTGTCGTTAGAAAAGAATCAAACTTTCTGTATGTCTTCATTAGACTAAGCAATAAACTGAATGTCTACCACAGTTTGTGTCCATCGACGATGTCTGTTTATGTTCCATTTTTTCATGCTGTTCTCAGCTTAATCATAGTCATCATGTTGGTTGGCTTGAACTGTGCGATTCTACATCTTCTCTTGTTTTATTATCAGTAAAAGACCAATAATAGAATGCCGACGTCGACCGTGTAAACAAGCCGTTGACAGAACAATCGGTATTGATGTTCACTACGTACCATCATATAAGGCATCTCATTATTTTGTCTTTGCCTGCCTCTCTGAGTCCTCCTTTTTTTGCGATTCGCTTTTTGTCGATATCATCGTCACACGATTGCATTTTGTTACGTCATTTACTCTACTACTGTTCTCACACGGCATATACACACATCCTTACATATACATATATTGAGTTGAGCTGTGAGAGCTGATATTATACAGCCTCATCAGTAATAAATATCTATATATATAGATATGCATACATGTATATATATATATATATACATACATACATATATACATATTTTTCTTAACCAATGATTCGGATAAGACAATGTTGACAAACGCGAACATCATGGTTCATTCGTCTTATGATAATTTATCTTTAATACCTCCAGCATTAGGATCTGCAACAACGAATAGTAATCCTATATTTGAAGAATTACAAGGTCGAGGTCAAGTTTCTTGTTTATTTGTTATTACATATATATAGATAGACGTATAAATTTATACATAACTCTTTAATCATTATCTATTTAACACATTGTATTAAGTTTTTCTTTCTAATTATTGAAACAGGTTTAACCAAAGATCTTCGTCAATTTCTTGATGCTCGTTTTCAAAAAGGTTCAATTGATCATGACCTTCAACAAACAATACGCGACAATCTTTATATGCGAACAGTTCCTTGTAAATATCTAAATTAGTTAGAATAACAATGAAAAGTCTGTTGTTTTGTGTGTAATCTTTGTTTAGGCACAACTCGCCCACCACGACCAGGTGAAATAAATGGACAAGATTATACATTCTTAAGCACAAAAGATTTTCGTGCGTTAGAAAAAAGTGGTAATCTGCTTGAGAGTGGTGTCTATAAAGGCAAGTATTGAAACTTTTTCTTTCTTTTTATGTTCTGTTATTTGTCAACTAGAAGAGTTTTGTTTCTTTTTCTAACTATCTTTATATTTTTTGCAAATAGGACATTATTACGGAACTCCACGTCCCCCAAAAGAAGCTCTTTTAACAAACGGACAACATCAATATCTTTCTTCAACTTCAAATAATCCTCTTTTGCGACGTAGTAATTCAGCTAATGAAATGTTTCAACAACAGCGTACAGCTGATAATGGAATAGACAATAATGGTAAAAGAAAAAAAAAAAATTTTTTTTTCGATCTTCATTTTGATTATCAAAGGTATGCATTATCAATATCCAAATAATGATCCGGAATTTTTCGCTGGTCATAGCCCTAATGATCAAATATTTCATCAATCGAATGGTGAAAATCAAGCAGCAACAAGTAAAGATTTGTTTTTTTTTTTCAAGATACACGTAAAAAACCAAAGACTTTAAAAAAAAGACAATATCAAATACTTCTGTATTCGTTGGAGTAAAAGAAAATTTTTCATGAAAATAAAACTAAAAAAGAAAATGGTAAAATGTTCCTTTTTTTCTTAATCGTAGCACGATCGATGATGAATGGAAGTTTGACTTCATCAGCACCACATTTATCAGGTGAATTAATATCATGTTCATTACAAAAAAGTCAAAATGGTTTTGGTTTTACAATAATTGGTGGTAATGAAAAAGGTGAACATTTTCTTCAAATAAAAGATATTTTACCCGATGGACCAGCATCACGTGATGGAAAACTTCGTCGAGGTAAGTTTCATTTATTTTATTCTCGTATTGTTAAAGAATAAATCTTTTACATCTTTTTTTTCTCTTAGGTGATATTCTTGTTTATGTTAATGATACCAATGTTTTGGGTTTTAGTCATACAGATGTTGTTCGTATATTTCAATCTTTATCAATTAATGATATTATTCGTTTAACTGTTTGTCGTGGTTATCCACTTGTTGTTAATTTTGATGATCCACAAATTGATGTTGTTTCATTAAATGGTGTTCATAATTCTTTATCAATTAATAATCTACCTAATGGTGGATATACAGAATATCAACCAGATTCTTATCATCATAATTCGTCTCGCATTTATACAATTAAAATTCGAAAAGGTGATAATGGTTTTGGTTTTACTGTAGCTGATAGTCCATTAGGACAACGAGTTAAAGCTATTGTTGATAAACAACGTTGTCAAGATCTATGTGAAAATGATTTATTATTATCGATTAATGGACAAGACTTAATTGGGAAACAACATGCTGATGTTGTTGATATACTTGTGAAATGTTCAAAAGATGTTGAAACAATATTTGTTATAAGACGAGGTAGAAATCATCATATCTTTTTTTTTTGTTTTGACCATGAAGTTCGTTTTTCTTTCCTTTTTTCTCTATTCTTATATATCCTTGGTTGTCAATGAGGAAAAAACTAAAAGAGAACTGTACTCATTGATATAAAAGAGAAAGAAAGAAAAGGGTATTTATATTTGTAATAGAACATACGACTAATACCATCACTATACTATTACCTATTCTGTATTGAAGTTTATATGCGAAAAAAGTTTGCTTATTGGCAAAGAAGTACGAGAAAAGAAAAAAAAACGACGATTTCTCTTTCTTCGTAGTGTTCTTTTTCAGCAGCATGGAGTATAAACGAAACAAGAAGGAGAGTTATATATTTATTTGATATTTCGAACACATTCGGAAGAACTTTTTCATTACAATTTTATAGTATACAACGATCAAGTCACAGGTAAATTTTATATATGTAGATACAAACATCTGCTCATAAGTGACAATTTGTTAATGCATTCATGTCCAACCTGACCTTTTGTCTTTCTTTCACATATGATAAAAAAAATCAATGAGAACATTGTCTGTGCCCGTATTCATCTATCGTGTATATATAGAGTTGTATAGAATTTTTTTTTTCATTGACACATGCATACTGTACTTGAACGGAGAATGGACGATTGAGCGAAGAAAAAAAAGGAAAATGAGAGTTCATTTGATATGATCATTTTTTGATTAGGTGTTGAACGCTTTGAACAATAATTGAAAAAGTGAGAGAAAACGAGCAAGAGAACAATCGAATGATTATTGTTGTTTTGAGTCGTCTGTCTGATTTATGACGGCTGTTCGGAATGTTGTTGGCATGTCTCTTCCCTAAGGAATAGAAAAACATTCATCCATTCTGAACACATTATTATTACAAGAATAAAACAGACAGACTGATAGACAGCTTTGTATATATCAAAAGAGTTAGAATAATAACAACATGCTGAGATTTCGTGTTAAAAGAGCCCCAAATAAAGGTATTGTTTTATTTTATTTTTATTCTTTTACATTTCATTTGGCTTTTTCATTAAAAATCTCATAGCTAATCAATATTCTTTTTTTTTCTTTTCTATTCAGGTGATCCGGACGTCAATAATAATAATAATCATAATAATAATAATAATAACAATAATAATAATAATCCATTTGTGTTAAATGGTACCAATCGTTTTGATAAACACAATCAGGTATGGATTAAAAAATTTTAAAATTTGTATTTGAGAAAATGTTCATGAGAAAGAACAAAAATTTTATCTATAGCTATATTATCGGCCGTCGAATAGCGGCAAGCATGTTTCATTTTTGACAAGCAACACCGTGAATAAGGTGATTGACAATCATTTCGAATACCCACATTTTTTTTTCCTATTGCATGTCTATTTTGTTCCCTATCATTTATATTTTCGCTCTTAATTTTCAAATGACAATTAATATAGGTAGAAATATGTATGTGTAAATGTTTATATGCATGTCATATTGTTAACATTAACTTGATCGAAAAGGTCAATTAAAATACAGTTCTAGACAAAAAAAAACCCAGAGAATAAATTATTGAACAACAATATTTAGTATTTTATTCTCTTGTTTTCTTGAGTGTGTGTATCGTAAAAATTGAAGTATACATTTATTATATCTTTTACCATGTACTTCACCATCAACTGTTCCTTGAATTAAAGAATCCGATTTCATTTTCTAGGAAAATGATCAACTTGATACTCGATATCCATCATCAAAACTAAATGGTATTGAAAGAAAATTTTTTTTTTCTCTTAATAAAGTTTTATTTTAATCGTATTTCTAGACAAACCTCGTAGTAAAACTCCAACACCATTTGGTTCAACACCATTAGCTGATACATTACCATTACGTTCTCGAACACCATTACCAACAACAACAATAACAACAAATAATCATCAACTAACACATTCAACAACAACTGATAATAATAATCCATACGATAATAATTTAAGTTTTCTTCTACCAAATAGTGTTGATACATCAACACCAATTATTGAAACAGAATTATCTCCAAATTCAATGAATACATTTAATCGTCAAACAGCTTGGTCACGTAGTGCACGTGACATACGAACAACAACAACAGCAACATCAACAACAAATGGAAATTGTTCTATATTACGAAGTAAAACTCCCGGACCAGAGTTTGGTACAACAATATCATCATCATATCGTGCAAATACATTAATGGGAATGAAACAACGAAGTAAAACACCAACAGCTAATGATTTTTCATCAAATAATTTACATAATAGGTTAGTTTAAGAAAAAAATTAAAGTTTTGTTTGTAGTTTTTTTATGTTTTAGTCGATCATTGCAATCTGTTCATCCACAATATTTCGAATTAGTTGTTAATTTAACAATATTACGTCCAAAGTAAATATTTTGTTGATCTATGTCGAGTGTATTAAATTGTTTTCGGTTTTGTTTTTCTTTTATTACAGTGACGGTTTTGGTTTAAGAATTGTTGGTGGTGAAGAAGAAAAATCTCAAGTATCTGTTGGTCGTATTGTTCCTAATTCACCAGCATATATTGATGGTCGTCTTCGTAAAGGTGACGAAATCATTAAAATTGATGGTCATTCAACCATACGTGCATCACATGAAAGAGTTGTTCAATTAATGCAACAAGCAAAAGAAAATCAACGTGTCAGTTTAATTGTTCGTCGTCATTTATATCCAAATAATAATCAATTATCAAGTAAACAAAATAAATTTCTATTGTTTATTTTTTATTTTGTTATGCTTTTTTTTGTAGATCAATATAATCAAACAGATATTGATGCATATTTGCCAAATGATTTTCGTGCAAATTCATCAAATGATACTGGAATACGTTATGTTACATTACAAAAAATGAATGATAATCAAAGTTTTGGTTTTGTTATTATATCATCACAAAACAAGGCCGGTGCTACAGTTGGTTAGTATACAAATTAGATGATATTTTAGCCTTTTTTTTTGTTAATTTTATTTATTCAAACAGATGGCAATCGACATGAACAGATTGAAAATAGTGTTATTCATAAAGTTTGGATAGGTTAGATATGCATGTATGCATGTAGATTGAATTATAAATATGAGCATGGGAAACTTCTTCTATTTCCTTCTTTTTGGTTTCTAGAAACATGGTTTAATAAGGATCATTCTTTTCATTAGATATTTTTTTACGATATTAATTGATATATAAGTATTGTAGCATTGAGAATAAAGTGAAATGTATAAATATTCTGTCTGCATCATAGATAGCATAGCATAGATAATACATTGGGGCATGATATTTAGTGATAAGTAGAAGTTTATATCATTGGCAATAATGATAAATTATATTTGTTTCTGTTGAATATTGGTTTTTCTGCATGATTTTATTCTTGAAATTCAATAAGATTGAACTTTACTTTCAGTTTAGGATCAGTCAAAGAGATGTGTCATCATATCTATATAAGTTCATATTATCTTCCTTGCCTGTATTTTTAAGATAGCATTCTGAATAAGTAATCATACTGTTTAAATCTAAATATTCAAGTGTCTTTCACAAATATCGATATTATTAACTATAGTATTTACCTGATACATGAACAACTAGAAAAAAATCATACGTCATTCTATTTTCTATTGACTAATTGAATTGATCAATTTTAACTTGAAAAAAAAATTAAACAATAAACAACGCATATTGATAAATACAAGGACATAAGCAATACTTTTGATACTATATCAAAGATTTCTATTTTCCAACAAAACATATCATTCTAAACATCTTTACATTATTAAAAAAAATGTTCAATTTTAGGCAAAATAATTCCAAATAGTCCAGCTGATCAGTGTGGCCAACTTCATATTAATGATCGTATCTTAGCTGTAAATGGTGTTGATTTAACTCATATGTTACATACAGATGTTGTTAATCTAATAAAAGATTCTGGTCGAACAATAACACTCAAAATCGGCCCACCTATTCTTTATGGTAAGTAAATAATGCATTATAAAATAATATTTTTCAAGTTTTTTATTGTTATCAAATAAAAGATGATCGATCTCAGGAAATTTCAAATCCATTTTCAACTGTGTCTAATAATAATCTACCGAATGGTATTCGACCGTCATCGTCATCACCAATGGTTATTGCTAATGGTACTCATCATTCATTATCGAATAATACATATCATTCAATGAATAATGGAAATCATTCAATAAGAAATGCATTTTCACATAATCCATTGAATATTCTTGAAAGGTATGATGATTGAATAAGAAAATATAAAGGGATAAAAGATACAATTTTTTTTTATTTTTCAAGAAATCAAAATCGTCCACCGTCAAGAGGAAATGGTGTTTTAAAGTCTGTAAGTAATTAATCAATATGTTTTAAGTCGAATCTATTTCAATATCAATCTTAATTTTAGTCATCATCATCGGATGATTATTTTACTGTTGATCTTCAACGTCCATATCCAACTTCAAGTTTTGGATTTAGTATTCGTGGTGGACGAGAATTTTCTATTCCATTATTTATATTAAAACTAGCTGATAATGGTCCAGCTGCACGAGATGGCCGAATGAAAGTAAATAAATAGATAAATAAATATTTTTTTGTAAAATAATTCTAATTTATATTTATATTTATATTAATAGTCCGGCGATCAAATTATTGAAATCAATGGTCGTTCAACGTATGGTATGACTCATAACGAAGCAATATCATTAATTCGGGATGGTGGACTTTATGTTCGATTACTATTAAGGAAAACAAATGCACCACCACCAAGTCTTGATGGTAAAACTTTGTTTTGTTACTATTTGAATAAGAATCTTTTTATTCTAGAAGTAAAAACAGCAATGGCACCAATGGGACATGGTATAGACTATTATAATCCAGGTCTAAGTAGCCATTGGCAACCAAGTGGTTACACATAAATGGAAAGAAAAGTTAAAAAAATGTTTGCTTTATACTTGGTCTCTCTATTTTTGATGTGAACTCTATATTTTTTCGTTTCGTGTTTAACATCATCATATATGTTCATTATTTATGCAATCAAATGTATTGGATCTAATTTTTTTTTCGAATCTGAATATATGTAATGAATTTTTTTTTCTCTCATTTTTTTTGTTTTTCTTTTGCTGAAAGTGTTTTTTCTGTATATATGAATAATGATGATAAAAAACGAATATAAACAAACGAAGGAAAAAAATATTAAAATAAGATCATTTTTTTGTCAGATGTTCAATTCAATATTGCACAGTGTGCGTGCGCGTGTGTGTGCGTATTTTTTGTCTTGATTATACTCAATCTGTTTATGCCATTCATTGACATTCCTTTATTTGTTTATTACAGTCTGTGCAATCTTATCCACTATTTGTTTGATGTGTTTTTCTTAGATGTCTATGTAATGTTTATTTCTTTTCTTTATTGTTTTTGGAAATGAATGTCAGAATTTCAGACAAATAAAACAAATTGTGCTTTATGATTGCTTTGATGATGGTTTATATCTAGCGGAAAGAGAAATTTTCATTATTGTTACATGATTTCATTTCATAGTCTAAAAAATAGTTTATTTTCTTTTAGCAATATGCATATGTGATGATGAAAATTTTGATTGTGGATAATCTATTAAATGTTCCAAAAGTTAGTACAAAAAAAAGTCATGTAAATATATCGTTATATTTTTCGTGGGACTGAGTTACCTGCTTTTATAATATGACTGTATATTCTTTCAATTTTATTTTATATAATTTCATTTAAAACAACTGTTCAACATCTTTCAAAAAGATACTGTAGAAAACTCATTTTCGTATTAATTCATTTCTGTTATCGGTTTTTTTTAAATTAAAACAAATGTTTATATGTCTTATACACATAAGATTTTATTTTATCTTTACTGCTAAAGCACTTAAAGAAAATAGAATTCATCCGTAAAAAATAACAATATATTTTGATTGTTGATATTTTCAAACATTGCTATCTAAGTTTGAGAACTTCTCTTGATCCTTTGAATCTTTATGAAGTTGTTGGACTAATCGTGTTTTGTATAACATCGTCGATAGCTATTAAGTCATAATTCGATCAGCTAGTGTTCTTAGGAATGAGGCAGATTATTGCAATAATCGCAACATCCGATAGTGGTACATATTGACAAGTATTAAGACTTCGTTGATTTTCTTTTTTTCTAGTTTTTGAAAATCTTTCAGATTGTTGCTCATTTACTACTGTACTGATCTCGCAAAAGATTTGAAAAGAATTCATAGTATAATCTATGCCTGATGTTCGTAGGTCAAATTCCGCTTCTATTATCTTTTCACAACGATAGGAGACTTAAATTTAGCCTTTAACAAAGCTAGTCTTATTTTAATGTTCATAAGCATAGAAATTTATCGAAAAATATGCAGAACACGACTTTAAAGAATATACTATGATGTGATTAAAAATATATATTAAACTGCTTAAACTGTTTAAGTGTTGTCCACATCAATTTTTTGCACGCAGTTTGGGACATTATTGATATACGTATTTATTATTCCTAATCTTTTTATAATGATTCATTTGACGTTTTCGTTTCCATTGGATGATGCAGCGCTACTATCACTTTTTCTAGAAAAAATTTTATGAACAAATCTTTTAAAAATTTGCTTCGTTCATAGTTTAATCAAAAAATTTACCATTAATTTTTTGTGCTGTTTGATGTATTAATTGAACAGAGTTTGAATTATCATCGAGTCAGTGAGTATGAGCCTCCGTACAAAGGCTTAAGATATCATCTTCACAAATATTCTGTCGGCGAACATCCATTGTTCGAGAAGGTCAAAACAGAAGCTAAAGTTATTAGTTAAGCTATGAAGGATACGATGCTATGCATATGTGCAGACAGAGAGAGAAGAACAAAGAACATCTGATTATATTAAGACGAAACTTTAGAAAATGTTTTTAACCTTGTTACTGCTCTTTCTTTAAAATCTTATTTAATTTTTGAAAATTTATTTTTTCCCTAAAATATTTTAACGAATAGTCTCGACTAAAAATATTTCGTTCTTTGATTTGCCCAGCATATCACAATTCCTGTTTTATCCTTGTAGCCATTGCCGTAACCTTATTTTAGTTTTAGTCACACGTCAGTTAGATTTTTCCATTTCAATTATTTTTCTGAAATATTTATTAGGAGTGAAGGAGTGATACTCCTATTCGATAATACAACCTAGTTGTACTTTATTGTCTTAAGCTTTGTTTTTGTTTTTCAGATCACCTTTTTTCCATCCGTTTCAAACCATCAATCAGTGATCTATAACAATGGGAAAAGAAAAAATTCATATCAACATTGTCGTCATTGGCCATGTCGATTCAGGTAAATCTACTTCAACTGGCCATTTGATCTACAAATGTGGTGGTATTGATAAGCGAACCATTGAAAAATTCGAAAAAGAAGCTGCTGAAGTTTGTATT